CCAGATTCGTCAGAAGATCCAATGTACAAGTTGTGCATGCGGACCCAAGAAGATTGTTTGTCCGAATTGAGTGTCCTGAACTGCAATTCTTTGTCATTGTTTTGCATGCACCACAGAGCGGTCGGCCCCTTGCTGAGCGCAAGCAATGGTGGATGCACACCAATGAGCTTGTTGATGCACTCCAGACTGACATTCCAGTTCTTGCATTACTGGATGCTAATGCCAAAAGTGGACCAAGATGCCCACCTGTGGTCTTTGATAATGATGATGCGGTTTCAGCCAGCACGCCTTTCCTTTTGGACTTCCTGCAACAACACGAATTGTGCTTGCCATGCACGAGCTCCATCCATGATGGCGCCACTTCGACTTGGATTTCACCTGATGGACTAACCCGACATAGAATTGATTTTATTGCTGTCCCTCAGACATGGAGTTCGTGTTGTGTGTATTCATGCATCCTACCAGAGCTTGACACTGGTAATTCTCATGAGGACCACACGGCAGTTGCCCTCCAAATGCGATGGTCAGACAATGTTGCGACTAGGGTCCAACCCGTAAACCGTCGCACACGACATAACAGGCACTTGATTGGAGAGCAAAGACAGGCCATTGACCTGTCGCATGTCACTGTAGCTCCATGGTCAGCTGACATTGAAACTCAAGTGACTAATATCAACCAACAGCTTGGGCAAATTCTTGAAAAATCTTGCCCAATCAAGAAAGGGACTGCCAAGAAACCTTTCTTTGATGAAGAGCTTTGGAAATGTCGCATTGAGAAGCAAAAGTTGAGGAAAAGACTTCAACAAGCGGCTGGTCACAAACGTAGGCTTTTGCTCCGTTGCATTTTCCTCCATTGGCAACGGACAGAGAGCGACGAAGAGACCTGGAGCCTCCATCACAATTATGTTGTTTCCAACTTGTGTGCTGAGCTCAAACTTCGCTGTCAGTATGTCAGCATTGCCAGAGCATTGAAACAAAGACTCCGCCGAGCTAAACAGCATGCCTTGCAACGTGACCTTGATGACATTTCTGACAAAACTGCAGCTGGAGAGATCATTCAACGGATTCGACCTCATATTGGTCCCAGCAATCCGAAGAAAGTCAAACGGGCCTGCTTGCCCATCGTTAAGGATAAAGATGGCCTGGTCTGCCCGACACCACATGCTGCCCAAAATAGGTGGATTGAATTTTTCCAGCTTATGGAGGGAGGCACCCGAATGTCTCATACAGACTATCGTGAAAAATGGATAGCTAATTTGAGACAATTTCTCCAAATTCCGAAATTGATGGTCTCGATCACTGAGTTGCCTACTCTTGTGGATCTCGAAATGGCCTTCCATCGTGTTGCCATCGGCAAGGCCACTGGCCTTGATGATATTCCACCGGAGCTATGTCGATACAAAGCGACTGAGATGGCCAGAATCTCTTACGCCATCATGATGAAGGCCTGCCTTTTTGGCCAAGAAGCTGCCGAGCATAAAGGGGGTAAATTAGCGATCGAATGGAAGCACAAAGGTGATCCTGCCGATTGTTCATCCCACCGATCATTGCTTGTTTCTAGCCATTTTGGGAAAACCATCCATAGGGCGTTGCGGCAGAAGCACCACAGCTTGTATACTTGCTATATGCAGTCTCAACAGCTTGGGGGTAGACCGTTTATGCCGGTTGGGGTTCCTCTTCACATGGCTAGAGCATTCATGAGATGGCAACAACGATTGCATTGTTCAACCTCAATGATCTTTCTTGATTTAACGGAAGCGTTCTATCGAGTTGTTCGGCCACTAGCTCTTGGTGGTGATTTCAGTGATGAACACATTGCATCCATGGCCTATGCTCTTGGTTATGATGATGAGACCTTACACCAATTTCATCAGCAACTCAGTCAGCCGTCCGCACTCCAAGAAGCAGGTGCACCTGAACATGTGCGACGCTTTATGCAGGCGCTGCATACTGACACATGGTTTACCATTGGTGACCAAGCTGATCTTGTACGCACAGAGCAAGGCTCCCGACCGGGAGATAGTTATGCTGATGTTGTTTTTGGTCTCTTGTGGGCTAAGCTCCTAAAAACCTATGAGCAGCGTTTGGTGAATGCAGGATTGCTTAGCTTCATTCCGGATATTGCACGACCATCACTTTTCACACAAGACCCCACAGTTCATCCGCAAATTGCTTTGCTCGGGCCAACGTGGATGGATGATCTTTGCGTGTGCTTGTGTGCACCTTCTAATGATGCACTTGTTGAAAAGACTGGCTTTGCCTTGAGCCTGTTGATTGACATGTGCAAGTCAATGCACATGCAGCCCAACCTTCGCAAAGGCAAGACCGAAATCATGTTCTGTTTCCGAGGTCAGGGCTCCCGACAATTTCGTCGACAGTTCTATTCTCATGCACAAGGTTTTCCAGTTGTATGTGAAGATGCCACCCATCACGTGACAGTTGTTAGTAGATACCTGCACCTTGGAGGTGTCCTCCACCATCGAGTGGTGACGAGAGCTGAAATCACTCGACGACTGGGAATTGCGCATCAGGCCTTTTCACAACACAGACGTGTATTGTATCGCAATCTCAGTTTGTCGTGGAGCAAACGAAAGGAAATTTTTTGTACGCTTGTTCTCAGCAAACTTGTGTACGGTTTTGAGTCTTGGACTTTTGAGACACAACAGATCCGAGCACAGATTCATGCTGGAATCATTAAATTATACAAAAGACTCCTTGGTCATCAACACGCGATGCATCTTTCTGATGAAGCAGTACTTGTGGAAACGGGTCTTCCATCACCTACTGAGCTTTTGAGGGGATGCAGGCTTCGATATTTTGGTACCCTTTTCAACTGCCAAAACGCCTCACACTGGGGCCTTCTTGTTGAAGACCGCCAATGGACTGCCCTGTTGGAAGATGACTTCCAATGGTTGTGGGCACAGCTCAAAAACAATACGAACTTGCCAGATCCGGTCTCCCATTTTGCTGTGTGGCAAGATATCTTGATCCACCACAAAGGATACTGGAAAAAGCTTATCAAAAAGGGGCTCGCACATGCTTGCTTGCAGCGTGAAAATCAAGCAGTTGCTGTTCAACTTCACAAACGAGTTGCTACATTATGGTATAAACATGGTTGGGTGTCCCAACTGCCGCATGAAGATGTGCCTGCTCACCCCAATATTGATACTTTTGGTTGCATGAGTTGTGGCACTGCGCATGCCACGAAAGCTGGTGAGAGCGCACACATGTTCAAAAGGCATGGCTACCAAGCCTCTGCACGACGCTTGTTTGATGGCACAGCCTGCCCACATTGCCTCCGTGAGTACCACACTCGCGCGAAAGTTTTGGCGCACCTTCGCCATGCCCACACATGCCGCCAGAGTCTCATTGGACGTAGGATTTATTGCTCTGTTATGCCGGGAACTGGGTCCAGAGTTGATCAGGCCCTGTCAGAACAGATTGATGGCACCTTGCCCTTTCAAGAAGGACATGGACCGAAATTTCCTGCGAACACAAGAAACGACTTTGCGACATTTGATGTGCAGATGTTTGAATCCATTTATTTGTACTTGGTTGACTATGATGGACCGGGAGGGATTGATTTACAGTCAAAACTTGCCGCTTTCATCTGCGCACAGCCCATCAGTTGGACAGTGTGTCATGCCACCTTGGTGCATTTTTTGGAGACATTCACACATGCAGATGCTGAACCACTTCAAGTGCCATTTGCACAAGTTGTTTCATGCATTAGTTATCTCATGCAGCCAGACTCATGGCCTTTCCTGAAGAGTCGTACTCAGACTGATTCCCTGTCACAGGTGCGCCTTGACCAATGGGAAGAGTGGTTTGCTGAACACGCAGTGAATCCCCAATTTGCCTGGGAAACCTCTGGAAAGGTGCCAAGAGTTTTTGGTAACCACAAAATTGTGCTACACGCTTATGCTGGCCGTCGTCGACGTGGCGACATTGAGTGGTACATGCTTGAGATTGCCAAACTCCATCCTGACCATATCATCATGACAGCTTCGGTGGATATCATTATTGATTCTGTCTATGGTGACATTGCTCGCCCAGAAACACGTGACTATTGGCTTTTTCATATTGCTAATGGACATGTTGCTGGGTTCATTGCGGGCCCTCCTTGTAACACTTGGAGCAAAGCACGCAATATCCCGACTTCAGGTCATGCTGGACCGCGGGTCGTACGTACGCCCTCAGAACCTTGGGGACTTGCCTCCCTGCGACTTGGGGAATTACGGCAGGTCTTGATTGGATCACTTCTCCTTGGGTTTGCTTTTGAATGTCTTACAGCCCTGGCAATGTGTGCAGGTGCTGGACTCCTTGAGCATCCAAAAGACCCAGAAGACCCGGAGTTGGTTAGCATTTGGCGTTTGCCTATTTTGCGAATGATCCTTAATTTGCCTAACATGCGTTTGGTTTCTCTTTCCCAAGGATTGTTTGGAGCTCCAACTGCGAAGCCTACGACGTTCTTAGTCCTTGGCTTACCAACCCTGGAAAAGAATCTACATTGCAGCAGACTCACACCACACCTGCCGCAAGGAGCATCTATCGGCAAAGATTCTTCAGGGCAGTACAAGACCGCCCCACTCAAAGAATATCCACCGGCTTTATGCCGTGCTATTGCATTGAGTTTTTGTACAGAATTCGCTAGCATTGAGTGCAGCGATACCGAGCCTCCATCTGAGTTTGTCACCAAGTGTATGGAGATGTGTGACAACCATTTGGACGGCCACATTGGCCATGATGGCTAAGTGCCATTTTTTCTGGCCACCGAATTCGGTCGGCTCCGTCGCAGCGAAGACGCTTCAGGGCATGGGAGGAAAAAAAAATATATATATATATATATACAGACATGATTATAGGCGTGTATAGTGTGAGTAATACATGTATCACGTTTGCTGGGCAGACGGCCCTAACTTTGATGACTTTGATGTGGATCCCGCGGATTCAAAAATCACCGCAGATTGACACCTCAGTCATTCAGCAGCCCCGCGCAGAAGCTGCTGGGCCCAAGATGGGCGGCAATGTGTACCACTCACGCCGGGGATCCCAAATGAAACCATCTATAAATGGGCAATCTATACCATGGCTATGTTAGTCATAACCAGATGGTAAAGGTGAGGAGACTTGGGCTGGCCCGCCACATCATTCAGCAGGGATTTGGTCGCCACATTGGCCATTGTGACACCGGTTGACAGCACAGTTTGTCATCAGCCAGGCATGTTCATATGTATCACATATGTATATGTGATCATATGTTTACACATATATATATATATATACGTATATATACACATACGTACACGTGTATAATATATATATATTATATATATATGTACATATTGCCATTGTTTCTCACTTTGTAAGAGGCATGGACAGTCAGCATCTCAAGTGATCATCCAGGTTGTGCTTGAACCATTTTTCCCTTTCAAACGCCATGATTTTGGTGCGGAGCAACAAACACCATCAATTTATGTGGCTATGAATCAATACCTATTAATACCATTTTTAGAGGGATGAGCATCCATTTACCAGCTATTTTTATGTTCACCAGGGGTACAAGGTTTTGACCCACTGCCATGTTATATGACATCCTTGGGGTATCCAAAACATTGCTGCATTTCAAGTCCCCCCCAATTGACAGGGGCTTTACATACATTTCCCCATGTTTGGATGGTTAAAGGTCACGTTTGAGAGGGTCAAATAGCAGGTAACCCACCACAAAATGTCATGTTACCAGAGAAAATCATCTGTGAAGCCTATGCCAGTTTTCCTCAAATCACCACTTCATCTGTGGTCTGTGGAGATCTGTGAAGCTTCTTGGTGATGCCTGGGCCAGGAGAGTACCACCTTCCTATGGTCCCACAATGGGAAGACCAAGCACCGCTGGCGCACTTGATGTGGGGGCTTCCAGGTGGAGTTGTAAAAACATGTTGAACAAAAACCACCTATAGTTGGGACATTCGCGTTTCATCCGTTAAATGGCTATGACACCTATCCCATTTTCAGGGTGGATGAACATCCATCAACTTGGAGCCCCTTCCCAAGTGATGACACGACGATGAAGCCAGGAGTGGATGGGTTCAGCTGCTTCCCAACAAGAAGCTCTCAACGACCTGGTGCATTGGGTCCCTTCCTGAGGGTGGTGCTCTAAATTGTTGGCTAAGTTGGTGCACATGACTCTAATTTCACTGGGGTTTATGAATGTTTATGATATATATATATTGATATATCGAACTAGTTAATGGGGCTTAAAAACCAACAAACATAACGGACGCAGAATTCTGTGGGGGGGTTGCGGTCAACAACCTTTCCAGTGTCAACCATGAAAATTGGCTGATTACGATTACGGTTTCAACTGTGTGATTTTTCAATAATTTTAATTTAGGAAAGATCCCGGTTGGCCAAAGGGCATTCCACCCAACAAGAGCGTTTCTCTAAAATCATTTTCAAATGAAGATTCAAGGGAACCCCCACAAAAGAAAAAAACAATCTGGAACGCCCAACGAAAGAGTCTCCCAAAATCCAATGGTTTAACAGATTAACATCATATTCCACGTACAAATTGCCATTTTGGGGTATACAGTACAGTATGTCAATCCCATTTCTGGACATACACATAAGTCACAAAAGTGTATCACATCGTTGGTTGTGAAATTATATGTCATATTGTGTCATTCATTGTCAGTCCATATGTATATATATATAGTTATATATATAATATTTATAGATTTAGTCATATATATATATACATATAATATTCTATTATAGGTCCATCGTGATGAGGGTTATTCCCCCCCATGTTTTTTCTTGGTTAACTCCTTTTCATTTCCACAGGTGACCGGGGCCTCCGGGGCCAGCATGGTGCCAGCATCAGGTCGTGGGAGGTACTGGCTGGCAACGCGGATGTCAGTTCCTCAGCCTGGCCATTGGAACGGTGATGTGTTTGGACCCAAAAAAACAAGATGAAGCCCACGAACCCGAATGCTCACACGTATGTTAATGGTACAGATGTCAAAACACATGGTTATGCAGTCACGCACAATACCTTTCTGCAATAGTTTATTTGAACAGTCTTGTACATGTTTCCCTTGTTACCAGTCTGCAGTGTGGAGTGGAAAGTGCAGAGTGTGGAGTGTGGAGTGTGAAGTAAGGAGTGTGGAGTGTAAAGTGTGGAGTGGGAAGTGTAGAGTGTGTAAAGTGTAGAATGCGGAGTGTAAAGTGTAGAGTGTGGAGTATGGAGTAAAAAGTGTAGAGTCTGGAGTGTGGAGTGTAAAGTGTGGAGTGTAAAGTGTGGAGTGAGGAGAGTAAAGTGGAAAGCGTGGAGTGTAAAGTGTAAAGTGTGGAGTGTAGAGTGTATAGTGTAGAGTCGTAGAGTGTAAAGGTTTAGCGTGTGGCGTGTGGGGGTTGTAAAGTGTGGAGTGGTAAAGTGTGGGAGGGTTAAAGTTGTGGAGTGTAAAGTGTTTTCTGGCGTGGGAGTGTAAAGGTGGTGTGGAGGTAAAGTGTGGAGTGTGGGTAGGAGTGTGGATGGAAAGTGTGGGTGGAAGTGTGGAGTCGTAACGTGTGGAGTGTTGGGAGTGGGAGTGTAAAGGGTGGAGTGGTGGAGTGAAGGGTAAAGTGTGGAGTGTGGAGGTGGCAGTGTAGAGTTGGTGGAGTGTGGCGTGTAAGTGTGAAGTGTAAAGGGTGGGAGTTTATGGAGTGTGGGCGTAAAGTGTAGCTTGTGCGGAAGTGGTGGCAGTGACAGTAAAGGGTGCAGAGTGTGGAGTGCGGAGTGTGGTGAGTGTGAGATAGTGTAGAGTGTGTGGAGTGGGAGTGTAAAGTGGGGAGTGTGGAGTGTAGAGTGTGGAGTGTGGAGTGTACAGTAAAGTGTGCAGTGTGGAGTGTGGAGTGCGGAGTGTGGAGTGGAAAGTGTAGAGTGTGGAGTGTGGAGTGTAAAGTGGGGAGTGTGGAGTGTAGAGTGTGAAGTGTGGAGTGTAAAGTGTGGAGTGCGGAGTGTAAACTGTGGAGTGCGAAATGTGGAGTGGAAAGTGTAGAGTGTGGTGTGTAGAGTGGAGTGTGGAGTGTAAAATGTAAAGTGCGGAGTGTGGGGTGTAAAGTGTGGAGTGTAAAGTGTAGAGTGTGGAGTGTAAAGTGTGGAGTGTAAAGTGTGGAGTGAGGAGTGTAAAGTGTGGAGTGTGGAGTTTAAAGTGTGGAGTGTGGAGTGTGGAGTGGAAAGTGTGGAGTGTGAAGTGTGGAGTGTGGAGTGTGGAGTGGAAAGTGTGGAGTGTGAAGTGTGAAGTGTGGAGTGTAAAGTAAGGAGTTTGTAGTGTAAAGTGTGGAGTGTAAAGTGTAGAGTGTGGAGTGTGGAGTGTAAAGTGTAGAGTGAGGAGTGAGGAGTGGAAAGTGTAGAGTGTAGTGTAAAGTGTGGAGTGTGGAGTGTAAAGTCTCAGGTGAGGAGTGAGGAGTGCAAAGTGCAAAGTGTAAAGCGTGGAGTGTAAAGTGTAGAGTGTGGATTTTAAAGTGTAAATTGCGGAGTGTGGAGTGTAAAGTGTAGAGTGTGGAGTGCGGAGCTTCCCCCATAGACACGTCGACGCCACAGGAAAACCAGAGACTCGAGACGAGACACGTGGGTGCAAAAAAACGAGCATTTCGTGCGAGACTTCCTCCAATTTTGATATTTTCCACACGTTATCAAACAGGTTGGAATGTCACAAAGTGCCACGCCTGCCACGCAAAACGACATGACAACCTGCGTGGAAACATTCGAAAAGGAGAGGTTTTGCGGCTTCCCCCATAGACACGGCGAAACGACAGGAAAACCAGAGACTCGAGACGAGACACGTGGGAGCACCACAACTAGCATTTCGTGCTAGACGTCCTCCAATTTTCACGCGAGATGAGACAGGTGGAAGCACCAAAACGATCATTTCGTACGAGACTTCCTCCTATTTTGGCACTTTGCAGCTTCAAAATCGACGTTTTCCTACGAGTTTTCCTTAGAACCTGAAAATTTGCAACCTCAAAATCGATGTTTCGTGCGAGGCTTCCGTCAATTTTCAGCACATGTCACAAAATGCCACGCCTGCCACGGAATTTGCACCTTGTCACCACTTGACACAGCCCTGCCAATGCGATTTACAAAAAACACGCAACAGGACACGTCTAAAGTGCTGCGCCTGCCACGAAAAATGACGATGGACACGTCCAAAGTGCTGCGCCTGCCACGAAAACTGCAACACATCTTCTGAAAACGTCACAAAAGTATTGCGCCTGCCACGCAAAACGATTTTCAACACGTTGCAAAACACATCTGAATGTCACGAAGTGCCACGCCTGCCACGCGAAACGAAGCAACGACACGTCTGAAACCTCCAAAAATGACCACCTCTGCAGGACTTCCCATAGGCACGGCCATACGGGGATCGCGCGAACGGTTGCGGACGGTTGCGGACGGTTGCGGACGGTTGCGGGCGGTTGCGGACGGTTGCGGACGCGGACGCAACGTCGAGCGAACACACCCTCAACCCCCAGACCCCCAGAGTGAAACGGGAACCCTTGCTACGCATTCGGGAAAAAGAAGAACTATCCAAGAGTAGGATGATGATGGTGATGGTGATGGTGATGGTGATGATGATGATGATGATGCTGATGATGATGATGATGATGATGATCCTGCACAGGACTCCGGCCATGTATGTTGTGATTCGGAAACTGATAGGTGTTTGAAATTGTGCACTAAGACACTTCGAACAGATGAACAGATGGACTTGTTTCGTTGTGGGGTTAAGAACTGTGAAGATCCAGTTGCTTTCACCAATTGATTTGTTTCTCCGTTTTGATATTGAGCATTTAGGAGTTTCCCCAAAAAGAGTCTCTTTGATTCTCTGGATTCAAAGAAACTATAAAGATGAAGGCTTGTAGAACCCCTACCAGCACACGGCTCCACGACAAAAATATCTCCGGCAAATAGACTCAATTTATATGTTGATGATCAATAGTGGTTTCCAGGTCCCGAGCAACAAATCCTTTGTTCCGACTCTTCTAGCAACTTGCCTTTTGGATGAACTATCCAAGTGTTGTCTGATCGCTTGGCTAAGGTGGTGGACATGTCCTTTGGCACCACCCGGCACTTGTGCCATTACAAGGTCAGCCGGGTAGGCCATGAGCGGTTCCCATAACCCCGGGCTGGCGGATCCTGCGAGGATGGTGGCTTTGTGGTGGAGCAAAAGTACAACATGAAGACTGAGGGGATGTGGGATGGTCACGGAGTGGTTAGCCGTGGTTAGCCGTTAGCCTGTTAGGCTGAAACAAATCAACATATACCATGGGCAATATAATTATATATATATATACATAACAGGGAATATAGCTCTGGGAAGGTTTTTTTCAGCGTTTAACCCCCATAAATTGTATATGGCACTGATAAGTATGATTATATATATATATATTATACACTAGATTAATATATATATATATCACTAGGACTCTGGGCTGTGGGCTGTTTGGTGATGACCAAGATATGGTTTGGGATGGTTTGGGTGTGTCTGAAAATGGGCGGATTTAGTCATGTTTAGTCCCATTTTTTTTTTGGCCGTTCTAACAGGGAAATCGATCATGAAGCAGCGGATTTAAGGGTACACCATTTTCGAACAAACCCATACCAAGACCTGTGCGTTGCTTGATCTGAAATCCGCAATCATATCAGGGCTAGATGGAAGATGAACTTCATTTTTTTGCAACAAATAGGAAATGAGACCACCACCCAAGCTGGTTTCATCTGGGGTGTCACCCATGCTAGATCCATGTTTTCAGAAGGTCCACAATCATAGGGTTCCAACCTCACGATCACCTCACGATCACCTCAGCTGCAGAGTAGCAGGACTGGCAAAGAGAGCTACAAACCCGGGAAACCCAAAGCGCTAGGGACACCCAGTGCTGGCAAAATGTTCGACCTCCGCTGGTATGACCGAGGGATCCTAGGGGATTTGAACTTAGTACAACAATGAAATTAGCATTACTAGTGACAATAATAGTATAACAACCCCCAAAAAGATAGAACAGTGGGAGACCTGGAGATATGAAGTATATAGTTGAATTATATCATTTACAACATCCTGGAGAGACTGTTTTATCTTATCCGGTTTTGCTTTATATATATATACATATACATACATATGTCACTACGTACTGTGTATATGTGGTTTATGAAATAAAACACATAGATGTGTCGTATACCCGGTCTTTTCCCATTGGCCAAAGCGCGGTGTCAGGTGTGGTTTCATCACCGTGAAAGATCAGCGAGGCCATCGTGGTGTGCGGCCACCAAGCTGACGACGGACTGGGAGAGCGGAAAATGATATATATATATGTGAATATATGCATATATATATATATGTATATATATATGTATATATATATATATATGTGTATATATATATGATTATATATGTACGTATATGTATATATATATATATGTATAAGAACATATATATATATATGAACATATATATATATATGTATATATAATGTTTTTTGGTTTTCGCATCGAACTGTTGGTTGACTGGAGGGTAACTGGGAATCAGAGGGACATGATAGAAAAAGAAATCATGGGAACTATGGTGATTTGTTTCTTTCATTATATGTTATCAACAAGTAAATAGGGATTCATATAGAGGATTTACCCCACATTTGGGCTATATATTAATCAATATTTATTGTAACCGAGGGCTTATCAACCACTACTAAATATCTATTTTGGTTTATTGAACATCCTTTCACCATGATTGGTGGTACGTGATGGCTCATGATTCATGATTCTAGATGGTGTCCCCCAATTTTCATTGTAGCATCATCCTTTGTCATCAAGCATGGCTAGCTGGTAAATCCCTGAAGCAAATGGAAGTTTTTACAAGTATATCATCAAACTAAATGGCTAAATGGAGGATTTTCCAGCAGGCCATCGAACTGAGTAACAGAGGGTAAACCATGCAACTGTGGATGTGGAGAAAAAGACAAACAATACAAAAATATAAACAATTGAATTTAACTGGCACAAATTGGTGATTTACATGGATCTACCCTGAAGCTTACCTGGCAAATTGACAATCATCCCTTGATAAAGTATGTATGTATATTAAACTATAAATGTATGTATGTTTAGTTTACTCTTTTAGAGATTTGCAATACCTCCGACAATTTCACAGTTTGGTAATATGGCCATTGAACACAGTTCATTTACCCATGAAAAATGGTGATGTTCACATCGCCCAAGGTGCCGGGTGAGCGCGGCTACAAAGCCCTGGGCGCCAAACGGAAGGCCCTAACCATCATTGTTCACCTCGATGGTTCATGGTTGAGGGAAATGGAAAGGGTACCCCAGGGAAAACTAACAAAAAGATGTGGAAAACCAATGAAAACCAATGGTTTCCTGGTTCGGTTTTAATGATCTAGAAATGATGGTGGTTGTTGTCCACATCTGAAAACAGGAGGACATATCAAGATATAAGGTGGTGCTCCGATAATCAAACCTGGCTGGAAAATCATCAATGGTGGAGTTTCCATTGTCATGTTTGATTGTCTATAAATAGATATGGGCCCTTGGAATCTGAAGCAAGTCATACAAGGGATGGTATAATTAGTCAACATTAATCATCTGCTTGGTGATTTCAATCATTGTTCCATGGCCAAACCCATTTGGGATTGTTATCCCAGCTGACACATGCTTTACGGATGGTTTCAGACCACCAACTGGTCTAAAATGGTTGAATGAGCATGGTCACACGTGCGAAAATTATAGACACATATAGACACCTTAGATCGGATAAAAAAAACTGGTAAAACTGTAGAATTGTTTTGTAAAAAAAAAGCGATGCTGTAGATGATACCCTCTGGTAAACTAACATAACTATGGAAAATCACCATTTTCAATGGGAAAATCCACTATAAATGGTCATGTTCAATAGCTATGTTAAATTACCAGAGGGTAGATGATATCTACCTTATAGTTTGCAGGTTCCAATATGTTCCATCTATTTGTGTTTTGCCAGCTCGCCTGGAGCTGGCCCGGCTAATTAAACAGAAGTTATGGGCTCAAGCGAATTACTGCAGAAGTCCCTACATGTTAAAGGGGATTAACTATTGCCTTGTTCAAGTGTTTGAATAGATCCAGGTTGGCCCACAGAATATCTTTGATTATAGGGAAAACACAAGGAATCTTGCTTGTTGCTTGTTGAAAGAAAGTCCACTTTTTTCAGTGACCAGAACTTCAGATTTCTGCCAGGACATCAGCGATGAAGAGGCTGAAGCTCGAGCCTGTAGTTTCCTACAGAAGGAGCAGTGGGGTTAGTGTTTTTCTGCCCGCAAATAATGAGAGTAGGTCCCACAGATTTCTGGGATGGAAACCAAGGAAAACAAAAACATGTTTGCTTGCTGTTTTTTTTAGTTTCTCTGAAACTGAGGATTGAAGATGTGGCCACGCTATGGCAACCAAAAAACTGGCGATGTTACAAACCAAGAAACACATTGACTGGTTGGTGGATATGCTCTCGGCAGGATCTCAAGTTTGACGCCTTCTTCACCGCATGGTTGGGCTCCAAGAGATGGATGGTTTTTGCTTGGAAATAGGTCAACCACGACTTGTATTTACATAAACAGATTGTCAATATAGGTTAAAGGGGTACCCACAAAACTACAGATTGATCATCATTTTTACCGTTGAAGTATATCAAAATTGCCATTTGTGGGGCGTGTTTGCTGTGTTGGAGGCACTTCATGGATTCATTGGGGTTTGGAAAATCGGGTGCCCCAAGAAAAGATCGAATCGCCACTTTTCCCTGCTAAAATAGCCATTTGGGGGTATGGAACTGCATCTTCAGACACCTATATAATTCCAAAGTTTCGTTGCTCAAATTCCGATTGTTGATGGTTAACTGCCCATTTTTGATGGGTTTCATTAATCCCATGTCAATGGCTATGACACTAAACAGGCGATGGTTTCTTGGTGTCGACATGCTGAGGTTGGACTGGAAGGGCAAGAGAGCAAGGTGCGATCAGAGATGCGCCGTGTTTTGGATGATGGTAACATTTACAGGAAACTAATGGTTAGTGGAAATGATGGATAGCTACAGTTATCATGATTATCATAATAATAAATTTACTGAATCATTATAGCTAATCATTGTTATACTGATGTTACGTTGATTATAATGATAGCTATATATTTGGAATGATGGGAGATTGCGACGGTTTCCCTGATGGAAAAAATACAATGATTATATTAATAAGGAGGAAAAGCATGGAACAACATGGAAAAACATGGAAAACAAATCAATGCTTCCTCTAGATGTTACCTTTAACCATTCCAGTGAAAGATGGTATAAACTCTATAGGAGCTGGGGGAAAGGACCAGACAGCGGTCAAAACGAGATGAGATGAATGACAGAATGGGACTGGGATAATATTGCAACGACTCCTTACTAGTTACTAGTCCGAATTTTATGAGCAACTTAAAGCATGAACAACACATCTTTGATTGTTGATTGGTTGACCACTGGGAGAAAGAAAATGACCAATGGTGTCACGACTGGTCCGGTACACTTCAGTATCGCATTTGTCTCACATCATTTTAGTTATTCATCATTGATGTCCATATTCAGGGTGCAATGGAAAAAGGACGCATGCCTGGACCACCCTATCCCATTCAAGTGACTTGTCCGCGTTGCACCAAGATCTTCCGCATCCAACTAGCACCGAAAACGATGATTCCACGTGAAACACTACAGTTACAGTATGTTAATGTTCAAAATGATGGATTCTCCCAAAAACTAGACGACGATTGGCCCGAGAGCGAAAAACACGTCCTTCAAGCAGCTCTGAGTATGGTAGTCGTAAAAAATAGTCGGTGAATGGTTGGTGAATTTTATATGAGCTATGGAGGGGAAAGTTGTGAAATTACACACAGACGCTTTTACACACAAACACTTTCACAGACGCGTTTACACACAGAGACTTTTACACACAGACGCTTTTACACACAGACACTTTTACACGCAGACGCTTTTACACACAGGCGCTTTTACACGCAGACGCTTTTACACACAAACACTTTCACAGACGCGTTTACACACAGACGCTTTTACACACACACACACTTTTACACGCAGACGCTTTTACACACAGGCGCTTTTACACGCAGATGCTTTTACACACAGAAGCTTTTACACACAGACACTTTTACACAGAAACGCTTTTACACACAGACCCTTTTACACACAGACCCTTTTACACACAGACGCTTTTACACACAGACGCTTTTACACGCAGATGCTTTTACACACACACACACTTTCATACACAGAGGCTTTTACATACAGAAGCTTTTGAAGAGTGTCTCTATATGACATTTTATGGTCCTGAACTCAAACGGTTCTGTTTTTGACATCAAGCACATGATGGCATCGAGCTCTGTTGCAAACGTTTGCAGACATTTCACTAGTGAAGTATTGTCACATGTGTCATTTACAGCATCATGGTACCGATATGTACCGATCTTTTTTTGGGCCATTTATGTGGGATTTTCCATAATAAAATGAAATAACATGTGTCATACACAGCATCATGGTACCGAGCTTTTTTGGGCCATTTATGTGGGATTTTCCATACTAAAATGAAATGACATGTGTCATACACGGCATCATGGTACCGACCTTTTTTGATAGTTTCTGTGGGATATTCCCAGAATTAAATGAGATAACGCGTGTCATTTACTGCATTATGGTATTGGACCTTTTTTTGTGCAAACGTTTGCAGACATGTCACTAGTTTGCAGAAGCTTTACACACACACACAGAAGCTTTTACACACAGAAGCTTTTACACACACACACACGCTTTTCTTTTACACACACACACATTCACACACAGAGGCTTTTACACACAGACGCTTACACAGAGACTTTTACACACAGAAGCTTTTACATCACACACACACACATACACACACACACGCTTTTCTTGTACACACACACACACTTTCACACACAGAGGCTTTTACACACAGACACTTACACAGAGACTTTTACACACAGACGCTTTTACACACAAACACTTTTACACAAAGACGCTTTTACACAAAGAAGCTTTTCCACACAGACTCCTTTACACACAGACGCTTTTACACACAGAAGTTTTTACACACAGACACTTTTTTACACAGACGCTTTTAGACACAGAAGCTTTTACACAGAGACTTTTACACACAGACGCTTTTACACACAAACGCTTTTACACACAGATGCTTTTACACACAGAAGCTTTTACACACAGACTCCTTTACACACAGACGCTTTTACACACAGAAGCTTTTACACACAGACGCTTTTACACACAAACACTTTCACACACAGAGGCTTTTACACACAGAAGCTTTTACACACAGAGGCTTTTACACACAGAAGCTTTTAGACACAGGCGCTTTTACACACAGACGCTTTTACACACAGACGCTTTTACACACAGACGATTTTACACACAGACGCTTTTACACACAGACGCTTTTACACACAGACGCTTTTACACACAGACGCTTTACACACAGACACTTTTACACAGAGACGCTTTTACACACAGACGCTTTTACACACAGACGCTTTTTGCACACAGACGCTTTTACACACACACACACACTTACATACACACACACACACTTTCACACACAGAGGCTATTACCAGACGCTTTTACACACAGACGCTTTTACACACAGACGCTTTTGCACACAGACACTTTTACACATACGCTTTTACACACAGACACTTTTACACACAGACATTTTTACACACAGACGCTTTTACACACAGACATTTTTACACACAGACTCCTTTACACACAGACGCTTTTACACAAAGAAGCTGTTACACACAGAAGCTTTTACACACAGACGCTCTTACACAGAAGCTTTTACACACAGACTCGTTTACACACAGACGCTTTTACACACAGAAGCTTTTACACACAGACACTTTTACACACAGACGCTCTTACACACAGAAGCCTTTACACAGAGACTTTTACACACAGGCACTTTTACCCACAGAAGCTTTTACACACACACGCACACACACACACACTCTTTTCTTTTACACACACACACAGAGAGGCTTTTACACACAGACGCTTGCACAGAGACTTTTACACACAGACGCTTTTGCACACAAACACTTTCACACACAGAGGCTTTTACACACAGAAGCCTTTACACAGAGACTCCTTTACACACAGACGCTTTTACACACAGAAGCTGGTACACACAGAAGCTTTTACACCCAGACGCTTTTACACACAGACACTCTTACACACAGACGTTTTTACACACAAACGCTTTTACACACAGACACTTTTACACACAGACACTTTTACACACAGACTCCTTTACACACAGAGGCTTTTACACACGGAAACTTTTACACACAGACACTTTTACACACAGGCACTTTTACACAAAGAGGCTTTTACACACAGACGCTTTTACACACAGACACTTTTACACACACGCTTTTACACAGACGCTTTTACACACAGACGCTTTTACACACAGACGCTTTTACACACAGACGATTTTACACACAGACGATTTTACACACAGACGCTTTTACACACAAAAGCTTTTACACACAAACGCTTTTACACACGGCACTTTTACACAGACACTTTTACACACAGACGCTTTTACACACAGACCCTTTTACACACAAACACTGTCACACACAGAAGCGTTTACACACAGACTCCTTTACACACAGACGCTTTTACACACAGAAGCTTTTACACACAGAAGATTTTACACAAAAACAAAACTTTCACACACAGACGCTTTTACACAGAGGCTTTTACACAGAGGCTTTTACACACAGACGCTTTTACACACAGACGCTTTTACACACAGATGCTTCTACACGCAGACGCTTTTACACGCAGATGCGTTTTACACACGCGCACACGCTTTCACACACAAACGCTTTTACACACAGACGCGTTTACACACAGACGCTTCTACACGCAGACGCTTTTACACGCAGATGCGTTTTACACACGCACACACGCTTTCACACACAAACGCTTTTACACACAGACGCGTTTACACACAGACGCTTCTACAGGCAGACGCCTTTACACGCAGATGCGTTTTACACACGCACACACGCTTTCACACACAAACGCTTTTACACACAGACGCGTTTTCTACACACAGACGCTTTTACACGCAGAAGCTTTTTACACACGCACACACACTTTCACACACAAACGCTTTTACACACAGACGCTTTTACACACAGACGCTTTTACACACAGACGCTTTTACACACAGAGCCTTTTACACACAGACGCTTTTACACACAGACGCTTTTCCACACAGAAGCTTTTACACACAGACACTTTTACACACAGACGCTTTTACACACAGACGCTTTTACACACAGACGCTTTTACACACAGACGCTTTGACACACAGACCCGTTTACACACAGAGGCTTTTACACACAGAAGCTTTTACACACAGACGCTTTTACACACAGACGCTTTTACACACAGACGCTTTTTACACACAGAGACTTTTACACACACAGACGCTTTTACACACAGAAGCTTTTACACACAGACGCTTTTACACACAGACACTTTTACACACAGACGCTTTTACACACAGACGCTTTTACACACAGACGCTTTTGCACACAGACACTTTTACACAGACACTTTTACACACAGACACTTTTACACAAACGCTTTTACACACAGACGCTTTTACACACAGGCATTTTTACACACAGACTCCTTTACACACAGACGCTTTTACACAAAGAAGCTGTTACACACAGAAGCTTTTACACACAGACGCTCTTACACAGAAGCTTTTACACACAGACGCGTTTACACACAGACGCTTTTACACACAGAAGCTTTTACACACAGACACTTTTACACACAGACGCTCTTACACACAAAAGCTTTTACACAGAGACTTTTACACACAGGCACTTTTACCCACAGAAGCTTTTACACACACACGCACACACACACTCTTTTCTTTTACACACACACACAGAGGCTTTTACACACAGACGCTTGCACAGAGACTTTTACACACAGACGCTTTTGCACACAAACACTTTCACACACAGAGGCTTTTACACACAGAAGCCTTTACACAGAGACTCCTTTACACACAGACGCTTTTACACACAGAAGCTGGTACACACAGAAGCTTTTACACCCAGACGCTTTTACACACAGACACTCTTACACACAGACGTTTTTACACACAAACGCTTTTACACACAGACACTTTTACACACAGACACTTTTACACACAGACTCCTTTACACACAGAGGCTTTTACACACGGAAACTTTTACACACAGACACTTTTACACACAGACACTTTTATACAAAGAGGCTTTTACACACAGACGCTTTTACACACAGACACTTTTACACACACGCTTTTACACAGACGCTTTTACACACAGACGCTTTTACACACAGACGATTTTACACACAGACGCTTTTACACACAGACACTTTTACACACAAAAGCTTTTACACACAAACGCTTTTACACACGGCACTTTTACACAGACACTTTTACACACAGACGCTTTTACACACAGACGCTTTTACACACAGACGCTTTTACACACAAACACTTTTACACGCAAACACTTTTACACACAGAGACGTTTACACCCAGAAGCTTTTACACACAGACGCTTTTACACACAAACACTTTTGCACACAGAGACTTTTACACACAGACATACACAGACGCTTTTGCACACAGACGCTTTTACACACAGACGCTTTTACACACAGACGCTTTTACACACAGATGCTTCTACACGCAGACGCTTTTACACGCAGATGCGTATTACACAGGCACACACGCTTTCACACACAAACGCTTTTACACACAGACGCGTTTACACACAGACGCTTCTACACGCAGACGCTTTTACACGCAGATGCGTTTTACACACGCACGCACGCTTTCACACACAAACGCTTTTACACACAGACGCGTTTACACACAGACGCTTCTACATCAGACGCTTTTACACGCGATGCGTTTTTACCCAACACGCACACACCTTTCACACACAAACCTTTCACACACAGACGCGTTTACACACAGACGCTTCTACACGCAGACGCTTTTACACGCAGATGCGTTTTACACACGCACACACGCTTTCACACACAAACGCTTTTACACACAGACGCTTTTACACACAGACACTTGTACAGAAACGAAAGCGTCCATCGCAATTTTTCCTCAGTTTTTGACGTCCAACGTCCATTTCGTGCGAAAGGGTTACGATTGACCAAGTAAAATCGCAATTTTTCCTCAGTTTTTGACGTCCAACGTCCATTTCGTGCGAAAGGGTTACGATTGACCAAGTAAAATCGCAATTTTTCCTCAGTTTTTGACGTCCAACGTCCATTTCGTGCGTAAAGGTTGCGATTGAATCCTCAGTTTTTGACGTCCAACGTCCATTTCGTGCGTAAGGGTTGCGATTGAATCAGTAAAGTCGCAACTTTTCCTCAGTTTTTGACGTCCAACGTCCATTTCGTGCGTAAAGGTTGCGATTGACAACTCAAAGTCGCAATTTTTCCTCAGTTTTTGACGTCCAACGTCCATTTCGTGCGAAAGGGTTGCGCGCGACGCTTCAAAGTCGCAATTTTTCCCCAGTTTTTGACGTCCAACGTCCATTTCGTGCCTAAGGGTTGCGCGGGACACCTCAAAGTCGCAACTTTTCCTCAGTTTTTGACGTCTAACGTCCATTTCGTGCGAAAGGGTTGCGCGGGACGCTTCAAAATCGTAATTTTACCTAGGTTTTGGACGTCCAACGTCCATTTCGTGCGAAAGGGTTGCGTTTCGTGGCGCTCCGGCGGCACCGCCCCCGCCTTAAGAGAGAATAGAAGAAGAGCGAGACGAGAGGAGATCTGCAGATGTGAAGGTGTGAAGATCTAGATCTGCAGGTGTGAGGGTGTGAAGATCTAGATCTGCAGGTGTGAGGGTGTGATGCTGTAGATCTGCAGATGTGAGGGTGTGAAGATCTAGATCTGCAGATGTCAGGATGTGAAGATCTAGATCTGCAGGTGTCAGGATGTGAAGATCTAGTATAACGGCTGCTTTTTTACGAAGAACCCTTCGCAGGCGCTCTCGGGAAAAACAGACCATTCTAAGGGAAGAAAACTAGAAATGACCATCCCATCCCCATCCCCATCCCATCCCCATCCCATCGAAATGACATTCCGATGGTAGGTGCATGGCCGCCGTCCCCTGGGCCGAGACACCCAGCGGCGCCGTGCCCCTGGCGGACAGCGAGGCGCCGGAAAATGCGGAGGCCCGGCGGAGCGGCTGGGATGGAAATGTTCGAGATGATCATGGGGAACCAACCCAATGTGTATATACGTGTATATATATATATATACATATATACATATATATGTATACATATGTATACATATGTATATATATGTATATGTACATATGATATGTGTATACGATTTTTATGCATACATTCAATACCCACAAACAATGATATGTTTTTCGGACTTGCTCCCAAGTGAAGCTCGGGGATGTGTGGGTCAGTGAAGCCGCTAGCCACAAACAATGAGAAGATATTCAGCAGTTATCACCTATGATAGCTTGGTTTGATTACATCACCAACGGTGACCCCAATACTAAGGTTTTAAAAGAAGATAAAGAAGGGCGAAGCTTAACCGCCAAGAGCTTCAAAGAGTGGCTGGTGAAACCATCATGATGTATCAATGTTCATTCTATTCATTCTGGATTGTGGGATCCACAAACCCTATGGTGCCTATGTTCCATCGTGACATAATACACAATTCCAGACTGCCAGAAACCAAACCTGGGGATGGTTCAAAGCTGTGAATCCCCCGTGACCTGGTTCATTGGGGATTATTGATTATCGTATAGTTACCATCTGGTTATGACTAACAAAGCCATGGAAAATCACCATTTTTAATAGGTAAACCATCTATAAATGGGCCATTTTCCATGGCTATAATAAATAACCAGAGGGTATGATATATTATGATTACGGGAACCCCTGTCTACTAGTATTAATGAGATATGATGAGATTGGTTCCCAGGAAAAAACTCCAATTTGCGATGGTTTAGAGAACCTGTTTCTGAATTGGGTATGGTATTTTTGGGTTTTCCACATTAGTTGTTTGGGGGGGCCAACTATTCAAAGTGAGGATGTGAACCAACAAAAAAGTAAAGAGATATTCCACAAATGATGTTTGTTTGCTGTCAGATCTCAAAAGAAACTGCTGAAAAACAACACAAACCAGTATTTTGTCAACAACAATGAGTGATTTAACTAACGAATATGGAAGTTCAAACTAATAATAAACATGGGAATTGAATCAACATGGGCAATGCAATGCCCAACAAAGACTAGGAATTCAGCACTAGTACTTCTGGAGAGATCATTGGCGTTCCATTAAGATTTCGGATGGTCCATATAGCATAACAGCCCAGGATGATGTGACCATGGAACCAAGGGGGGATGCAGTCAGCAGAATACGATCAGTCAATCGATCAGGATCAATATAATGATGATCTATGACACTGTTTTCCAATAAGCAGTCATTAGTCAAGATCAGATTAGTCAAAAAAAGGTTTAATGCACAATTATCATAGTACGTATATCAATCTCACATGGATTTCGGATCCTTGGGGACGGGGCCCGATCTAGCAATATATGACGTGGAAATTGGATGAAATTTGGAAGCTTTCAATATCCTTGGAGGGTTATCCTTGGGGGTTCAGTGAACCTAAGTGGATATACCCAACTGATGGAGATTAGAATCCCGTAGGCGGAAAGATTTGCTCAAGGATGCCCCTTTGGGCAGTTGGTCATCCCCGGAGCCTTGCTGTTCCAAACCACCATCCACAATAAAACACCAAGCCCAACACTACTGGATCCATGGTTTGGTACAATCCGAAAAGTGAAATCTTGAATGAACTCTCTAGCAGCTATAGCATATCTTTAAGATTCTTTAAGTCTGAATGAAAACATATAAAAACGACAGTTGCTTAAAAATTCCATGCTATGTAGTATCCTATGTCTCCATATGTTGGGGCCCAAAATCTGGCTCCAGTTCAGGCCCTGCCAGAGGAGTCGGCCGCAGAAGCAGCGCTGAGGGCGGCTGAGGTTTGGGCCCTGAGGTTTGTGCGACGCCAGTAACGATTGCTTTCCATCCATTTTCAACAGCAAATAGTTTTGTTTCGTCCAATAAATGTCCCACATTTAGTATATTTGAATGGCAAAGCATTTGAGTTATTTTGAGTCTTGGGGGAAACTATGTAGTGACATGGGGGATCATGTACTCGTATATCATACATTTTAGTGGCAATCATTGGCAAACCCTCCCATAAGAAAATATTGGGGATACCATTTTTTTACCCATTTGGTGAGTTTTGTTTTTTGTTGCATCTTTCAAAGAAATTGTCTTCGGACTTATTATGATCTGAGGGAACGGCAGGGTGTTTCCCAGGGTTCTTTTCCTGTCAGCACGCTCAGCCCATGAATTGTGAGCCCTGAATCCTGCATTCGCTCAATCCTTCCTGGCTAGTTGCTAATGCCGTGGGGACAGCGTTTTGTGGGACTTCGTGGAATTGGTTCGGATGGCGTGAGGTGGGGTGGTGCGGGGGTGTAAAGTTCTTGTTTCTACGCTCTTGCTGCTACGCATTTAGTAACTTGCAACACGCTCTTGCTGTTAGGCTCTTAACATTGTCAAATAACTTCTGACACTCTCTTGATGCTACGTTCTTAATTTGTTCAAGTATGTTTTAAGAAACTTGTAGCACGTTCTTGATGCTACGCATTTAACTTGTTCAAGTAACTTGCAACACGCTCTTGCTTTTAGGCTCTTCACTTTGTCAAATAACTTCTGACACTCTCTTGATGCTACGTTCTTAATTTGTTCAAGTATGTTCAAAAAACTTATTGCACACTCTTGGTTCTATGATCTTAACTTGTTTAAGAAACTTGTAGCACGCTCTTGATGCTACGCATTTAACTGGCTCAAGTAACGTGTATGACGCTCTTGATGCTATATTATTAATTTGTGCAATTTACTTGTAACACGCTCTTGTTGCTATACTCTTAACTTTGTCAAGTAACTTGTAACACGCTTTTGATGCTATGCTCTTAGCTTGTTCAATCAATTTGTAGCACGCTCTTGATGCTAGACTCTTAGCTTGCCAAGCAATTTGTAACACACTCTTGATGGTATGTTCTTAACTGGTTCAATTAACTTGTAACATGGTCTTGATGCTACGTACTTGACTTGTTTAAGCAATTGTAGCACGCTCTTGATGCTACGCATTTAACTGGTTCAAGTAACGTGTAGCTCTTAACTTGTCCAAGTAACTCGTAACACACTTTTGTTGCTAGGTTCCTAACTTTGTCAAGTAACTTGTAACACGCTTCATGCTACGCTCTCAACTGGTTCAAGTAACTGGTAACACAGTCTTGATGCTAGGCACTTAACTTTGTCAAACAACTTGTAACACGGTCTTGATGCTACGCACTTAGCTTGTTCAAGAACTTGCAACACGCTCTTGATGCTAGGCTCTTAAAAGCAGCGTCCAAGCAATCAATCTTCAAAACCAGGTTATAAATTATAATATTGTAAAACTTTGATTGATAGAAAATGTCTTTCAGTTTTTGTGGTGACGGACCAAAACTGCGGATGAAAAAGACATACTTGAAATTATGTGTACAGAACTGGGCAAAATCTGCAAATGGCGGTCATGAGAAGGATCTCCAATAGCATGAGGTTGCATCATCACTCTGTCCACTGCACACCCAGCGTGACCTGGGTAGTTTAGTTCTAGTTAGTTTGTTATAATCATAAAGGTGGGCTATATAAATATATGTATTACATTACTACATACATAATACCACCAAAAAAGGACCATTTTCTCGGGGTATACAGGATTCGCAATGTTCCTTGGCGCAAGGCAGCCCTGGAAGCAGCTGAACTGGCTGCGGAGGCAGTCTCAGAGGCTGCAGCTGAGGCGTTGCGACAGCTGTGTTTGGGTCATCGGGATGAAACCATCAAAAAATACGGATTTACCATCTGGTTATGACTAACAAAGCCATGGAAAATCACCATTTTTAATAGGTAAACCTTATAAATGGGCCATTTCCCATGGCTATGTTAAATAACCAGAGGGTAACCTTAAGGACTTTAGGTCTAGCCATGGGGCGTTTAGCCACCAAACAGCAATTGAAAAATAGGGAAAAGGATGGTTGCCGATTCAGAGCAGAGAACAGTACTAGCTGAGAATGCCATCCTACCTGACAAGACAGGAGCTGTTCTATGACACAAGTATAGAAACCACATTTGACGTAAAAAACTAGAAAACATCCCAAAAATCAAAAACAAACATGGACATGAAACGACAAAATTGCGACGCAAGTTGAGGTACTCGGATGTCGGGGCGTTATATCTTGGATAATTTGTAGACACAGAAATAGCCTCTGGTAATGACTAACATAGCTATTGAAAATGGCCCAGTCGAAATAGAGTGAGTTTTCCCATTAATAGCATGGTGATTTTCCATAGTTATGTTAGTTTACCAGAGGGTAACAATATTCAACATGTAGTTACATGACTCTAAATGAGGTATTTCCAATCTGACAAATTTACAGCGGACGTTTTGCGGGAAAATGAAGATCATCCCGTTGGATTTGGGGCACCCTGAATACGCAGGTGCAGTAGCCTTCAGGGCAGTGCAGGCAGGGTCGGTGCTGGGAGGGTTTGATGTGGTTTACCAAAGTTTACCACAGCCTAAGCCTTCGACCTTGAATATCTTGAATTTGAAAAATGTATATGTTTGATATGTTTTGATGATGTCATACTTGGGGATAGGTGAAATTTACTGTGACCGTACACCGAATTCGATGGTTGACTGACATGACCAAATTGGTGGATCTTTCGCTACTGATACTCTATGTTGGGACATGTTTGCAAGTTCAAATTGTTTCTGAAAATCGAGTACCCCATCCCATCCACCGATTCATTATGTTCCCTATTCAAATGGCATAAAATGGCCATGTGTGTTCCCATTTATAGGGACTTCTGTCGCATGTGGAGGATGGGCTGGGCTTGTTTGAGGAATCAAGGAAGGATGGAAGCCACCCTTTACTGAGGGCTGATTGAAAGATGAAATTAAGTAACTTCAAAGTCGGATACATATATACATATAATATACAATAGTCATATCCTTTCATACACACATCAGATACATATACAATCATATACATGTACAAAAACTTATACCTATACATATATCATATAAATTCACATATACTTGTACTTAGATTTATACATATACACATTGAACATGTATTCTGCACGCTACGGCTAGTTCCAATCTCCAGTCGCCAGGCACGTCTAATTCGCCACATCCAGCTCCGGAGGGGCGGATGCTGTCGGACAGCGGCTGCTGCCGCAAAAAAGTGTCACAACCGTCACAGCCGCAGCGTTGGTGATGGATTTAGCCAACAAAAATGGTGGTACAATGGGGATAGAATGAGATATAATGGAAATATAATGGGGAAGTGTATATGTGATTATATAATTATATATAATTATGTATAATTATCGAAGAAAGATTAGAAGTCAAACTTCCGACAATATGGACAGATGAAAAGCAGAGATGGGAAGAGTCAGAGAGAAGAGAAGAGTAGAAGAGAGAAGATCAGAGAAGATAAAGAGTCAGAAGAAAGAAGATGCAGGTGCGCGAAAAGGTAGGAAAATCGCGAAACACTGTGTTTTTCCAATGATTTGTGGCTCCGGAGGGTCCCGAAAAGATCATTTTCTTTTGAAATTTGGCTAAGCGGCCGCAGCTTTTGAAGAGACCTCAAGCTCAACTCGTTGTGCTCGACTAGTGATCCTCGAAGATGTCTGCGGACAGTTTGGACGACGTGAGCATTAGTAGCTACGACGAGGAAGGCAGCAGAATGGGTTGGTTTAGGTTTGGCAAAGTAGGTTTAGATTATCTGTGAAAGTTTGTGCGAGGGCCTAAGAAATTTTGCGCATACCCCGAAAGTTTATACCCCGAACCCCTGACGCCTTGACCCTGTGATGCGCCCGTTTTGGGGTCAGCAACATTTTGCTCCTTTGGGATATAGAGGGAATTGGAAATATATAAGCAATATCTAACTGGTATATAAATAATAAAGTTAGCATGGAAAAATCCCAAGTAAAAGGGCAATCAATTCATTGTGGCTTCAACCGAACGCTTACGCCTACCCCTGGCCAGTCCAAGAGCAGCGCGCAGAGCGCATACAACGGCTCTACGACACGAGGAAGACCGTGCGAGAAAGGCGGAGGCACCGAAGGGCCACGAAGTAAAGCGGAAGTGTAGATGCGGGCGATAGGGGCAACAGCGTTTGAATGGCAGCCGTTACCAACGCCCGTGTTTACTATATTCATTATTAGCAATGCATGCCCTAGTTTTTGGCAGTTCCGAACCCACTTGGTCATATTGATGGATTCAACATGAGTCTATCAATACATATATCTAGAATTGGACGCGGCACCGCCAATGTCAAAAATTTCGATGCCTGTAGACATGCTCAATCAGTATAGTTGCAATCCCCATGCTTCTAGTAGCCAATGCCCAGGAAAGGTGGCACGAGCAGCCGCCAAGGCGGAGAAGGCAACGGGAGGACCGGCCCTGACTGAGGGCTTGGTCAAAACATATTTCATCCTTTGACATCAAGTTTTTTATTTTTGTTACATCAAACCTTTTACTTGTGCTTTCCCACTGAGAGGATGACCTAAGACCAGTTAGGGAGGCAAAGCGGCCAGCGGGTCACTATGTTAATGGAATATCAGCCGCCACTAGGGGTATAGTAACGATGACTACGGGGGCTGATATACTATAGCTTGCATTATAGGACATGGAATGGACATGGTATATCAATAAGCGGGGTTGCAAAACATGACATAGGAATTGATTGTGGGAGCAGTTCTGAGACACACAGCCTCAGCTCCCACGCAAGCACGGCGTCAAAAGTGTTTACACAGACGACGATAGATAGCAACATCTTTTCACCCCTCCCCTGTCTGACCTCATGCTTTAATCAGCAATGGCATTCAAAAAACAAGAAACGCCCAAACCCAATGCTTCAGCTTGTGGGAAAATGATATGGCCAGCTAGCCTCTTACCAAAAGCAACTAAAATCCACCATGCCCTATGTCATGAGATCGGCAAACCAAATTCTCGATAGTCCCACATTCGTGGTTTTACTATTGCGATCATTCCTGAGTAACTGGTAGGATTTTTTTCATGGATAACTGGTGTATAAAGGACGCCTATCTAGCAGGCAAGATAACCATGAGTATTGGCAAGATAATGCCACGCAGTCCCGGCACGCCGAGGCTGCCGAGGAGAAAGCCGCCAAGGCGGCAGCAAAGGCCGCAGCCAAGGCGAAAGCGGCCGCTGCGAGAAAGGAGGCGCTCCGGAAACTGCGGGTCCTGGAATTCTGGTCCTTGATTTAACATGATAATAACTGCCAATGAGCATAGTAATAATGCAAAAAACGGGCTTTTAACCTAATAATAACATTGTATAAGTTACAACGAAGGTAAAAGCAACATAACCCCTGTTCGATGTCGTAAACATGCTGGGGCAACGACATTTAACGCCATGATAATGCGATAGTAGCCTTATCTAAACTGAAAATAGTAAACCAAACGGTCATGAAAGGGTAATAACATAGTATTAGCCACTATTGACCGTAGCAATAACCTAATTTTTTTAAGAAAAAGTAAAGGCGGCCTTTAACCTAACCTAATAATGACATATTATTGATTTACCACCGTTTGGCCGCGGGTCTCCCAGCGCGGGCTGTGGGGTGTGTGTGTGTGCTGCAATCCACGCTTTGTCCCAATTGGGGGCAGGACGCGTGCGATGCATGCCGCGCCCCATGCCCGCGGATGCTGGCTGGCTGCTGGCTGTACCGGTCCAGACAACCGGATCACCACGGGCTGATCCCGGCCCGAATTTGGGACGCAATCCCATTTAGCGTAAAAATGGCATGACCTCCATTTGATGGAAACGAAAACTTTCGAACCAACCCCATTTAATTTAATAATGATGCTTTGGTAGCCCATTTTAACATGATAACAGCATATAGTATTAACATAGCAATAGCCGCCATTGAACCGAATAATAGCGTAATAAAAACGGCGTCTAACCTAATAATATTATAGTAACATTTGATGCCTTTTATTCAACGTAGTAACAACGTACCCTCCCTTCGGTTTCCCACCATTGGCCGTAACCCCATGTCACTTCATAAAATGCTTGAAGTGACACGTCCCTGCGAAGCAGGCGAAGGGCCAGGGCAAGAAAGCTGCACAGGAGCCTGCCGTTTGCCCACAGCCAGCTACTATATTACGGCGTTCAAGCCTGCCGTTTGCCCGCCCTCAAAGCCTTAAAACCCTCCGCGGCAGCTTCGACCAGGCACGCAGGCCACAGCCAGCTACTATTACATCTATTACGGCGTTCAAGCCTGCCGTTTGCCCGCCCTCCAAGCCTTAAAACGCTCCGCGGCAGCTTCGAAAAGTAGGCTCGCTAAAGCGGCGGGTGCGGAGCCATCTGGCCCAATGAGAGATGAAAAATTGCAGGCCGTTGTGGCGCGAGGCACATTTTCAAGTCAAAATGTACAAAACACACCAGGTCCGGACCACTTTTGGAAGTTGAGATGTCGAAAAAGTGCACGCCATTGTGGCGCAAAGCACATTCCGAAGTCAAAATGTATAAAACACACCAGGTCCGGACCACGTTTGGAAGTTGAGATGTCGAAAAAGTGCACGCCGTTGTGGCGCGAGGCACATTTTCAAGTCAAAATGTACAAAACACACCAGGTCCGGACCACTTTTGGAAGTTGAGATGTCGAAAAAGTGCACGCCATTGTGGCGCGAAGCACATTTCGAAGTCAAAATGTACAAAGCACACCAGGTTCCGACCACGTTTGGAAGTTGAGATGTCGAAAAAGTGCGCGCCGTTGTGGCGCGAAGCACATTTCGAAGTCAAAATGTTAAAAGCACCACATGTTCCGACCACTTTTTGGACGTTCAGATGTCGTTTCGCGTGGCAGGTGCAAGGGATGGGGCACCTTCTCAAAAGTGAGCAAAACGTGAGGGTCTTGTAGCATTTCCAAAAACGATGGCAGGCGTGGGGCATTTGAAGAAGATCTGCAAAGATGCATTTCGCGTGTCAGGCGCAGTACAAAAGACATGTTCATCAGAGATGTTAGGAGGTCAGGGCGCTGATTTCCTGAGAGAGGTTGCATTTTGGAGCATCAGATCTGCAGATTTGCCAAGATGATGTTGCGTGACAGGTGCAGCACTTCGTAAGACCTGGCATCAGTTTTTCGTGGCAGGCGCAGTACTTTAGACAGGTGGAGTGGAAAAAATCGCAAAACACATTGGTACGAGGCCGTCAGCGCTGCCCTCAACTTTCGATTTTTGAAGGAAGTATCGCAGAATTGCTTTGTTATTTTTGATGTTGTCAAATTCAAAAGTCGAAGGAGTCTCGCAGAATTGCTTCGTTTTGGATGTTGTTAAGTTCAACAAATGAAGAAGTCTCACAGAATTGCTGCGATTTTGATGTTGTCAACTTCGAAAAATGAGGAAGTCTCGCAGAATAGCTTGGTTTTCAAGCTGGCAGATAGACAGGTAGATAGATAGATGGATAGATAGATGGATAGATAGATAGATACATAGATACATAGATACATAGATACATAGATACAAAGATGGATAGCTGGATAGCTGGATAGATAGGATAGATAGGATAGATAGGATAGATAGGATAGATAGGAAAGATAGGATAGATAGGATAGATAGGGCAGATAGGATAGATAGGATAGATAGGATAGATAGGATAGATAGGATAGATCGATAGATAGATAGATAGATCGATCGATAGATAGATAGATAGGTAGATAGATAGATAGATAGAAGATTAGATAGATAGACAGACAGACGGAGAGAGAGAGAGAGATATAGATAGATAGATAGATAGATAGATAGATAGATAGATAGAAGATTAGATAGATAGACAGACAGACGGAGAGAGAGAGAGAGAGAGAGAGAGATATAGATAGATAGATAGATAGATAGGTAGGTAGATAGATAGATAGAAATAAAGAAAGAAAGAATAGCTGTATCGATGGATAGCTGGATGGATAGATAGATAGATAGGATAGGTAGGATAGATAGGATAGATAGGATAGATAGGATAGATGGGATAGATAGGATAGATAGGATAGATAGGACAGGTAGGATAGATAGGATAGATAGGATAGATAGGATAGATAGGATAGGTAGGAAAGATAGGATAGATAGGATAGATAGGATAGATAGGATAGATAGGGTAGATAGGAAAGATAGGATAGATAGGATAGATAGGGTAGATAGGATAGATAGGATAGATAGGATAGATCGATAGATAGATAGATAGATAGATAGAAGATTAGATAGATAGACAGACAGAGAGAGAGAGAGAGGTAGATAGGTAGATAGATAGATAGATCGATAGATAGATAGATAGACAGACAGAGAAAGAGGTAGATAGATAGATAGATAGAGATATAGAGAGATAGATAGTTAGATAGATAGGTAGGTAGGTAGATAGATAGATAGATAGATAGAAGATTAGAAGATTAGATAGATAGACAGACAGACGGGGAGAGGGAGAGAGAGAGAGAGAGAGATATATATAGATAGATAGGTAGATAGATAGATAGATAGATCGGTAGGTAGGTAGGTAGGTAGATAATCAGAGAAAGAGAGAGACAGAGAGCAAAAGAGAGAGAAAGAGTGAGAGAGATCAATCACCTTTCGATCCATCAGTGGCTTCGCTCTGCCATCCCTGATTCACAACAACCAACCTCTCCTATAGGTTTCCTCTTTTTGAAACTTCCGCCACCGCCTTGTGCGGTACTACTGGTATATAATTATATATATAACTATAATTAGATATCATGTATTCTATATATATATATATATACTTATGTATTGAATGACTGTTGATGACAAGTTCGTTTTTGATGGGGCAGGCAGACTCATCTGTTTGTTAAATGCCGTTCATTGGCCCCTTTTGCTTGATGGCAAAGTTTGCTGCGTAAGAAAAACGGTTTTGTTTAGGTGGTTTATCATAAACCATTGTCTCAATGGATTGGTTCAAGGGAAAATTTAAGGGAATATTTAATGGGAAAATCTTTGGTTTCCTGTAGGTTTTACCTTCAACCAATCCATTGATTGTCGGAATCACACAAAATTTGGGGAACTGGTCATGTCTTGATGTGTTGTAATTGCTGTATGTGGCTGCCAGTGTGACTACCACTGCTTTGAAAAGCAGTGATAAAGCCATGGAGCGTCGGGATGTCTGCTGAACATGATTTTGATTTAGACGTTTCAGTCAAGGGGGGAGGAGCCTTTGACCATTGTTCAGGTGGCTGACTTCCCCTAATGATCCTGTTTCCAATCACAGCGCATATCAAGATCCTCTTGCCGCTGGTTGCTCAAAGCCGTTTCAGGCTATTTGTTCCATCTGCAAAGTCATGTGATTAAGTGCAAACATCCTCGGCTGCATGTGATAAACAGGAAAATAACATAGAGTTGAATACATGAGTTTGTTCGGCCTAAAAAGACAAAAAGGATTAAAAAGGTGTAGATTTTATCCGACAGTTCAGACTGAGATACAGGGGAATCAACAACGATCTCAATCACTCTTGTAGAGTTTCTCAGTGCATCACCCCAAATGACTCATATACTTATTGTATGGGCGTGTTGGCAACTCACTGGTGGTAGCCTTGCCAGGCATGCATGGGTGTTTCCTCATCTTGGGTTACCGCCAAATGATCTACAAATGGACCATAGTTCAGCATGGAAAGTTGTGGGTTTAGGGTACCCATATTTTGGGAAGTACTAGTAGACCATACATGTTCCCTTCGTATTTCCAGGATATCCTTTGTCCAGCCAATAAAGCTATGGCGGAAGACGAGAAGACGCCCAGTGCCACCAGTGCTGGTGCTGGCACTCCAGTGCTGACGCTCAGGGGAGGACAAAGGGGTACCCTTCACCAATCAAACATGGCTGGGAAATTCCCGAACTAAATGGAGGCTTACAGCTGGTTTAAAGAAAATTGAACTATATGGGAAATGTGTATGAATGTGTATGAATGTGCAATTGCCATGCTCGATTACGGGAGGATACCCCTAAAAAGGGATGTTTAATTGTTGACACGAACAACACGAAATTCTGACTTTTTCTGGGCCTGAAATGCTAACACCCAGCTGGATTTAAACATGGTTGATAGGGGAATTGCAATCGATGTCATGTCACCAAATATGGGGATTGAACATCAGTGACTTGGATTCAGGATCCAACATGTGTTCAATATGAAATGTGACATTTGATTGTTCTACAGCAATATTATATATATATATTATAATGTGTATATACATATATATTATGAATGAAGAATTATACACAACATACATTTAATAGACCATTAAAAAAAGACCATATATATATATAGGTAAAAGTTATAGTATATATATATACATGTACTACTATAGTTACATATATATTTTAATAAATAGTGTACAATCTTCAAAACTCCCAATCTCCAAATCCCCAAAGCATCGCCGCCCAGGATGCTTCCACGCTGAGCGAGAAGCTGGTGGCGGCGCCCGAGTTGACTTCGGCTGCCGAGTGGCCATGGATGAAGGATGGACCTGGAGGGTAGTGCTGCCAAGGATCTGGACATGTCTGAGACATTGCACATATTACGCATCATACAATATATTATATATATTATGTATATATATATATATTACATACATAATATGCGTACATATATATATATATTATATATATATATTACATACATAATATGTATATATATATGTATATATGCTAGCCCCCCCAAAACAACCTACCTTTGCCTGCTTGTAATGCTACACTACAACTCTTTTGGAACTATTATTGTTCCCAGTGAATACTGCATAGACTAAGAGAGCTTTCTTAATGAAGCTATGGTGTGCCCTTTCAAGTCACTTTTCTTGAGAAGGGGCACTGTCAATCTCACAAAGGTAGCATGTGTGATGTTTTGGTTTAAGCAAAGATGGCTCACATTTGTTCATTTCAAGTATACACAATTACTGTCAAAACATTAGGGTATACGGACTCTAGAAAGCACAATGTAGCAGTACTTGTGCCACATGTGCAGCATGTTCTTTTAAATATCCAACTTGCTTTTCAACAAATATAGTGTCACTTAGAGAAAAACATGTATTTTCTTCAAAGCAATGGCTACATTTCTGAAGGTAGTCTTTTTTGATTTGAAGAGATTCTGCATTTGATTGGAATCCTTGTATGTTGCAGGGACTGTTTGTGCAACGTGTTTCTTCCTTCCAGAAGTATTGTACTTAGTACGTTATGAAATGGGTCTGTGAATTAAGAGTGCATATTTACATGTTGGAAAAAAACTGATTGATCGAAATGAAGAGATATATTTTCAAGAGAAGTGGCTTTCTGCAAAGGAATGCTACCTATTGGAAAGGAACACTCTTTTTGCTTAAGGAATGCTACACCCTTTGAATGAACGTGTCTGTCTATAAAGCCTGCTCTTGTCACTTAGAATTGGTTCTTCAAGAGAAGGATGCATGTTTGATCATCTCTTGAAGTCATTTAACTACAGTGTTTTCACTGCCTTTTTCAGGTTTGGGGAAAAGACTCAAAGTTGAATGATCTTTTTCATGTGGGTTGAATCACTACTTAAGGGAAACTGTGCAGAGAGGCTGAGGTACTTGGAGGTACATAAATTAATGTAAATTCTACTTAAGACATAGTTTGGAAGGGGTACGAACTAAGATTGCAAGATTTTTACTTAGGCATTCTGCAGCCTGAAGGAACGCATTCAGAATGCATTCTTTCCCAAATCTAAGATCCAATATCCAAGAGTTGCGGAGAAGTCTTGTGCAAATCTTGGATTTGGAATTTGCCAGAATACCCTTACAAATCCCCATCAAGATTCTTTAGGAATCCAAGATTTTGATCAGGAGTCTTGGATCTTGGATCTTAGATTTGGGGAAGAATGCATTCTGAATGCATTCCTTCAGAATGCAAAATGCCCTAAGTACAAGGAAGAATCAAAATCAACATGTTGCTTACTACCCTTTGTGTGTGTGTATTCACATATGTATGTATGTAATGTAATGTAATGCAATGTAATGTAATGTAATGCAATGCAATGTAATGTAATGTAATGTAATGTATGTATGTATATATATGGTACCCCCTAGAGGGAAAGGGAAACCCAATACTCAAAACTCTCCGAAATTGTCCATTTAAAACCATTCCAAAAAATAGACACGAAACACCGCAAATACCAGTAAAAGTGATGAGAAGGTAGGTTTTTTGGGGGTTACCATATATATATATATATTATACGTGTATATACTGTATATATATATATTTATATATATATGATATGCATAGATATGTAATATACAGTTGGAAGGATTTTGGAAGGATTTGGATGTATTCAGGATTTGGAAGTATGTAAATATCTATAAAGATTGGGATTTTGAGCTACAGATATTTTGAAATGTCGGATGGCACAATTTCAAGACTCCCTGGATTGGCAAGCCCCAGACCCGACCCGTTTTTCCAAGCAGATGGAGAGCAAATTCTTGGGGTTGCATGGACAAGCATGTCTTTTCCAAGTCCCAAACATAGGGAGGTCAATCAACCAAAAAAAGATGGGATTTTCACCAAATCCATGGTATATACGGATTGACAATCCGCAAGCTTTCAAGGAAAATGTCCCAGTTGCAATGCATCAACAGTCAGCTGGATACGAGAATGCCCGTTTTTGTTGGGTTTCTACCATGACATTTGATGAGTTGGATTTCTGGCAAAGGTGGACCACAGACCACAGTGGCCCTTGGGAGATAATTTCATCCTGGGGCATCCAACCGGACAGCCGACTAGGAATCTCTGAAGCCACTGATTGGTGAATCTTACGATTGAAATCCTAAAGTGGAAGGAGAAACATATTCATGCGACCATGATCCCACTATAGTAACTTTAGTAATTAATCATAGCAGGATATAACAATTCTATAGTGGGTATTCATTTTTTTCTAACGATGCACTACTCTATAGTTGATGTCACCATGATCCTACTTTAGTGCAAAATTAAGAATAAAACCAGTAGGAATTTTACAAGATGGTGCCCCCCAATTTAAGTCAGTTTATAAATTCCATTAACAGTTTATAAAATTTTATAAAGTCCATTAACAATAGTTATATCTACCATAAACCAAAGAATTCAGCAACTTCCATCGACGATCCGCGCCTCGTCAGATCCCCGAAGCGGCGCCCAGTGCAGAAGCCTCGGCAAAGTCCGAGGCGAAGATCGGATGGGGAGATGGGATTCTGGGATGGGATACAATGGGATACAGTGGGATTAAAACTTCAAGATCTAGATTCTAGATGATTCTAGATGATTTTAGATGTTTTGGCCAGCAACTGTGGACATGTTATCAGTAAAATGGGCGATTTCACCCAACGCATAAAGGATTTTGGCAACACTTATGCATCATATGATCATCAAGGGGAAAAACCTTGGTTTTTAGCAGCAAATACTGGTATTTGGGGGTTCCTGATGCAACTTTTCCAAAGAGACCAATTCTGGGACGAAGAGATTTGGGATGCCGCAACCCTAGTGATGATCAGGATGAAACGGTTGATGATTGGGTCTCCTGGTTAGTGAACTCGTTTTTCGTATGGGGGGTAAAATATTACTGGAATATGTTGGAACTTCTTGAAAACATTGCAACGCTTGATGTTTCTACATGTCCCGACAGGATATTTCTTTAGTACAGGTAGCCTTTGTAATGCTGTGGATCTATTTTGGTTGTATCAGTAGCATGTAAAAAAGGCATCTTGCCAACAGATCATACGTATGCATGGTGCTTGGGTCCTGAGAAAATCTGAAACCCGGGTAGCCAGCATCTTCACAGTGATGCTGGTTTCCTATTCTTTATCCCCAAAACATGGTCACGTCGCCGGTAGGAGCGCTGGACTGTTGTCAAATTTGAAATCACTTATGTTTGACTTGTCGTGTCAGTGTTGCAACCCTCGTGTGTATTTGAAAACTTCCAACAAAATTTCGGTGATTCATGGGATGCAGAATTCACTGTAAAGCAGTGGAAAAATAGTTGTCTTGTGTTGAGAACACTGCGAGGGGCAGCGATTCCACCCCTTTTTTTCTTTGGCAGTCAGCGAGCTTCTTGGCAGAGGATTATGAGTTTTGGAACATAGAACCTTGAACCTGTCTTCTCCAGTATCCACGCCATAAGTATGACCGCAGCATACCGCAGCTCCTTTTCTTTGATCTTTCCATGTCTTTTCGTAGTCCATGATTTCAATCAAGACAAGATGTTCGAAGTCGTGATTTCTTCACAAGATTCCTGAGGAGGTTTGCCGTATGGAAAGTAGAAGAAAATAGGTTAGAGCGTAGCATCAATAAATGTTAGAAAGTAGAAGAGAATATCTGTGAGTGTAGCTTTATATAGATTATGTTAGAAAGTAGAAGAAAAGATCTAACAGCGTAGCATTACATAGATTGGAAAGTAGAAGAAACGATCTAGAAACCAAGCATAGCATCAAATATGTTGGAAAGTAAAAGAGAATATCTTTGAGTGTAGCATCAGTTATGTTGGAAAGTAGAAGAAACGACCTAAAAGTGTAGCATCATCATCTTGTTGCCCCCGTGCAAACCCCCCTCCCCCACCCGAACCCCCTTGAGTTATCTCCTGGGAGGTGCTTGAAGGTCAGCCGCTGACGTTTCAACGAAACCTGTGGGATAGGTAGCCGGGATTGTGGGCGTTGAAGTTGGGTACTGGAGGTTGAACAATGAGGAGTGACAATGACCCTCAAACCATGGGGTTTTCAAATTCTCTGAGTTTATTTAACGCAGTATATACACCAGAATTTGGAGGGACAATGGCAGGAATCTGGAACCAATCAGAATGCTGAACAGATCAAACAAACTGACGTTTAGCTGGTTTCCAGCTGCCATATTGGTAGCTTCACAACGGATCCTACTGTGGACGGTTGCGAAATCCTGCACCACCCTGGATGATTGATAAATGATGTGTTTCTATAAGTCATGGGATATTTACCACTTATCAACTGGTGCACGATTTCCATTGTCGTCATATCTCCATCGTCACCGGCGATCGCACCAGGTTTGATTTCCTTTGGAAGAACCGTATCGAAGCCTCCCAAGGCCGACGACCTTCATGAATCCAGGGCTGCCTACTTTGGTATGTTTCATGGATTTCATGTGGGAGAGAACGACCAGGTCCAGATGTTTTATCGGTTTTTATCGAATCAAAAAAGTGATGGACAGCATCAACTTCTTCTCCTCTCTAGTAGCGTTGCTACTACATTGTACTTTGCTCCGTGTCTCTCATCGTTTATCCGACATGGTAAAATCTTGGCCTGGTACTTGGTTCAAGACTTCCGCACCATTTATGGTTCGCAGCCTGCTTCAATCATGTGCACATGTTCGTTGGGAAAAACCCTGTTTGGAGATCATCCCAGTGGATTTGGCCAACGGTTTTTTTTAAGGCAAAACCAAACACGGGCGACCACAGAAGCTGCATATTGTGCCAGAAAGTGACATGATTTATGGTCTTGTGTTCCCCTGTTTTCTTCCATTTGAACCATGACTCACCATGACTCACCATGACTCACCATGACTCACCATGACCCACCATGACTCACCATGATTCATGACTCACCATCCATCAAAGCCAGGTTTGTTGCAGAAGGTGTGCGATGTATTGAAGAGTCGCGCAGAATTGGAGCGAAAGTATGGCGAAAGTTTGCTGAGTCTCGGGGAGGGCATCGGCCCTGAAGCAGGACGGTGGATGTACTGGGGATGATTGGAATGGGCAAGTGATGTATACAGCCATACAATTTGGTTGTGTTTGAATGAATTGTATATGTAGTTTCATAATGTTTCATATAACATTATATTATCATACATATATATATATATGATATTATATGTCCTGTACATGTACCAATAGTTTTGCAGCCTTTGGATCTGCATAAGGACTTGGAACAGGAATTGCTGAACTCCACATGTACCAACTTTCTGCCTGGGACGAAGCCCTTGGTCAGGAAATTCCTTGCATGGGGCGGTGGAGGCCATGATTGTCACTTGGCAGTATCAATGTCAATACCCTATAATCATGACGTATCACGGCAGGGACAAGTGACAAGACAGAGGAGGGGATTAATCAATATAGTATGAATACAGTACTGACATTTTTGGGTATCAGGTATCAATAGTATTATATACCCTCTAGAGTGTCATTAAACGTGGCTGGAAAATTCCAATTCCCTGGAGGCTTTAATGGACAAAACATCTATAAATCGACAAATGATGGATTTCCCTTGTCACGTTTTGCCTATCTTAAATACAGAGGAATATGCAGTTTTTCATGGTGTCCCCCTGGATGGATGGAATCCAAAACGCTCTAAAGTGGCCGTGTCAGAAAATGACGACGTGTTTATTATATATATATATATTATAATGTAATATGTACTATTATTGTTATTGTTATTATTAATGATTACTATTATATTAGTTATTATTATTGTTTATTGATATTCACACAAACACCAAATCACACCACGAAAAAGCAAGTTTGAAGGAACAATAAACAACAATAAGTAATCTGACGAGGGACAATAATGATGCTAAACATAGGATTTGGCATATCCAATTGTTGGGACAATCCTTGTGTTATGGCAGATTGAGGTGAACTTCCGAAATCGTGGAGAGCAATCCCTGGTCTTGGCTGATGAGCTTCTTGGCACGGAGGGGGGTGTTCTGGTCGAAATCCACCGAATGGGTGGCTTAAGCAACAAAGAAAAACAACTCCCTACAAACATGCTGATTCTAAAAGACAAGAGGTACCAGCAACAAGAAAAACTGTTCAAGAAATAGTTGGAAGCAGCAACCATTGTGGAATGCATCCACATCATGTGGGGAGTCACCAACAAGATGGTATGTTGTGGGTGGGGCCCTTGTGTACCCCAACAGCAATCAGATTTCAGGCGCGCTTGGGCTTCTTGTTTCAGTTGATCGATCAGCTTAGCCCAAAAATACTCCCAATTCACCACCGATTTTGGGGATTGAACCGCCAGTAAACTAGGCCATTTGGGTGACGACACGTGGCTGAGGTTGGAGTCAGACATCATTGTCAGCTTTGAGTGTGTGATAAAGCAGCACAAGGAGGTGACAGCGGCTGGTGCCATGGGGCCGTTGGGGAATAAGTGTACTGCGCCAGAGAAATGATTACTATAGCATCGTGCTTAGATGGGTGAAATTGCTGCATACACCATGCTTGGAGTATTCACACACCATGTATCGAAATAGCATATAATACCTGGTTGGTGGTTTCAAACATTTTTTATTTTCCATAATATATGGGATAATACTTTCAGAGGGGTAGGTCAGCCACCAACCAGATAATACATTATAGTGAATCTTTCACCTGTGTCTAATGCAGATCTCCATGCGCCGGCGGTACCACCACTGGACCCACTTAAAATTCTTCATGCTTAGCGGTAGCCATCCTATACCTTTATACAATATTAATCCATAGTATACCCTCTGGTAGATTAACATAGACCCTGAAAATAAGCCATGTTTCGTGGTTTCACTAGTCTTCCAACCCCTACCAGGGTCGAACTGTTAATTTACTGAAGGGTGTGTATATATATATATACATACACATATTGTGAGCTTTATATCCCATGATTTCCCATGAAACCGGATCTCAGGGTGCCGCACGCGGTCTCTCGGCGCGCCCCTACGGTAGGTCTCAAAGCGGATCTACTCAGATGTCCAGCTCCTGGTGAAGCAGCTGCAGGACGGCTATCTATACATTCCATTTTTAGACAATTATTAGATATATTAGATAATGCTATTGAATAATAGGTGGAATATTCAAATCATCTACACATGATTGAATCATATAAGCGATCGATGATTTGTAGTAATTAATAATGATGGTTTTGATGATTATAGCTAATATTCTAGATGTCCATGATGATGATTCCGTTGTCCATTTATGTAATATTTAGCTAGATGTCCATGGTGTCCACAGGGGATCTTAAATTTATGGAGGTTGACGGATGCATCCTGTCAGGACCGAAAAAAGGTCCATGACAAGTGTGCTAGGAGGCCGGCAGAGGGTATATTAATGTATAGTATATGGACGAGCACCTACAACTTATCAATGTATGATGATATCTTCTGGCAATCTATTGATATCAATTGATTATCTCATATATTCAGATTTTGAAATGCAAGCCGCAAGCCAAATTTGGCGCTTGACAGCGTATCACCCCTTTGCTGCAGATACGGGTCAAGATGTGTCGAAGCTGAGAATGCGTCGCAGGCAGCGGATTGCAGATGTACCATTTGGGGGACCCTATTTTCTGGTGCTTCGTAATGGGTGGAATGATCTGTAACAACTTTTTGCTCTCTGACCTGCGCCTTGGAGGACTGCCTGCAGGCGGTTTCCATGAAGACACAAGAAAGGTTGAAGCTGGCGCAGCAGGCACCGGGCACCAGGTTGGTCCATTACGGCTATGGCGGCTATGGTTTGTATATACATATTAGGCGTATAACATTAAAAAGACGGTCGAACTTCCAACTGCAGTATCACAACTCACTTGAAAGTTCATCCGAGGATTTTTTTTTTAGAAGATTGATTCATATATGATACATAGTATGCAATCTATATAGTGATGACTAGGACTAGGATTGACACGGGATATCCTACACACATATTTGTGACTTGCAACCGCTTCCTGAGGCCACAATGCTGAGCAAGCAAGCCAGAGTTGCTGAGTACGAAGCTGGTCGAAGTTGAAGGAAGTCAGTATTTTTGTTGATTATATATATATATATATCTATTGGTGCCCTTAGAATCCGATATATTTGTCATGTTCCTGTGTTTAAGTTTGAACTGATTGGTTTATCATTGTTTATTTTTATTGGTTTTACACTTTTTTCCTACATGCTTTGTTTGTAAAGTTTATGGCTACGGCCTGGCATGATCCGATCAGAAAAGCAACCGAACAACCGAATCCATTGTAGCCAGGACCCAAGAAGTTGTCAGGATGCGACAAATTCTTCCTGGAACGTGGCTGGTTGGCCATGTAACACACAATGTTAGAATGTTCTATCATGTTCTATCATTATCTATGGTTCCTCTTTGGGATGACGATTCCAGTTGACACCACCGACTGACCATCTTCGATTTGTAACATAAACGTAAGACAAAAATAGTGATGTGGGTTTTGGGGTTGACTGAAAACAGGGTGCCCAAAATGTTTGACGATTTATCATTATTTTCCCTACTAAACTGGCTATTTGGGAGGTCAATCATATTTGTATCAACCCATTTATATTGAAAATGGCTATATATACATATTTTTCTAGCTCCAAGTTACCCAAATTCAGAAAATGTACATATACTATGAATCCATCGTACTCCAGACCTGTCTCTTTGGACCCACTGTTTTCCCAACCTGTTTCCCTGTGTGTGACATGTTTCACACCTGTGAATTGACTGGTTTAGATGGGAAGACCTTTCAGCTCAATTTGGAATTTTTTTGGCACCATGTCGATGCCTTGTGTTGTTCCTGAAATGCTATGGAGCCTGGATGAGCTAAAGCGTGTCCTGATAAGTGAGTTTCCCATTTTGGAGACTGAAGAAGGAGAGGGTTTCAACATATTGTTTGACTTGTTTGTTGAGTGGGCTGAAATCCTGTTAAATTACAACAACCAGCATCCGCCCACTCTGTTGAATTTGGGGAATTGTGGCCCAGAACCCTTCTCTCAGGGGATTTCCGGCCGCACATACTCATGTCGCATCGCACTCGAGGGGTGTCATCGCACCCCAGAGGACCCCATCGCACTCCACACACCTACTCACAGATCATCGTACTCCACAAAAGGGATCGTACACCAGAAAAACTTGCGCAGACAGCCAAAAACATTTTTTTTCGAAAAATTGACCTGAAGAGCTTTTTTTTTTCCCTCTTCGGAGGTAAAATGCTCTGGAATCTGATAATATGGAATATGAGGGAAATTGTTGTTTTTCCAGCGTTTTGAACAGTCGCGCATACAATCGCATTCCATGAAATTTTGATACTTTTGACCCGTGGAGGCTATGGAAATTCTCGATTGTTGTCTTAGTCGTGCGCGATAGAGTGTGATGCCTTGTGGGTATGTGGAATGGAATTTGCAGCCTCGAGTTGATCAAAAATGATATTAACATATGCCTGAGAAGCCCACATGCAGGAACGGCAACGCATACGGGGGGGGCATCGTACTCCAGGGGTGGCATCCTACTCAATGTAACTGTATTAAGTGGAAATATGGTACCATTTGGGTTCGAGGAAGAACAGCGTAATCCAGACTTGGCCCCGTTTACAGATGCGGAAGCTGAGCCGCCAGCCAAACGCGTCAAAAAATAAGCTGAACAGCTTATCCAATGGTTTTAAAAGATCCTAGAGAGAAGCTGATGATTGATGAGAGAAACAAGACTTTATGATTATGTTTATTCAAGAAATCATTGCTTGAGAAGGTTCTCAGCGGGGTTAAACACGTGCGACTGGACATGACAGCACGTGACAAGGGAGCGCCTGACAAGGGTCACACAACCTTATTCTCATCATCAAAGGTCGTTCATTATTTTCCAAATTTCCGGAGCTATTTGGGCATGGAATATGAACAGCCTTGGAATATGGGTAAGATTTTGCTAGAATTTTATATCACTGAGTCTCAGAGCCAGCACTCAGGATTACTACTCTTCCATTGATCAGGCGCGGTTCATCGGCTATGCAAAATGGTTTGAGATGTGTTGAACTGATAGAAACGCAAAAGTCGCCTGCTTTTGGATACCATCCAAGCTGGTGATACCAAGACGCATCGCAGCCTTCACAGTTGGATATCCCCACATCTTTCCTTGCAGCCGTACCACTTCAATTGTGGCTCCAATGAGGATACTGCTACAACTCAGGGATGTTCCAAAGACGTCGTATTTGGGCATTGACCCAAGGGTTCAGAAAGGACGTATGATAAATTGATAAGAAATAAAAGAATGATTCATAAACGTTGACCGAAGGTGACCGAAGGAAGTCTAGAATTCTGAAGGAACATTTGCAGTGACACCGCTGAGGATTTCAGGATTCTTTTCGATGGGCTGGTATGCAAACTGCCGGTCGGGCAGGTGATGGTTTCAGATGCGGGTATGTTGTATCACTGAGACTCGGGTGCTATTGATTTCTTGTGTTTGTTTCAATGAACTATCTATTTAAATACATAATTAATATAATTATATCATCATCATTGATCAGTGTCACATTCTACTATTCAGCTAGTTACTAGTTTTTTATATGTTTCTATATAGTATATCTCAGCTGCCTCAAGCTGCCCGGAAGTTGTTCTGCGAAACCGGCCCTTTGAGCAACGGGAGCGAGCAATGGCGCTGCCAAAATCGGCGACAGCTGGTGGTAGCCTTGGGCTTGGCTACTGAGAGTAGTTGCATTTAGCATTCCTGAAACTTATAGAGTTCAAGATGAACACAATGCTAATAACACACTGATTGTGTTATTAGACTTTGGAAAAAGGACAATTCAATAAATATGAATCATGATGACACCTACATATTATATTTATATGGTTATATGCATCAAATTAATATACATAATTTTATAATATTATATTATACTATATATAAGTGTGTATGTATATATATATACATACACAATTATATTTTTAAGTTTAAACATAGTTTATATATATATTGATATCATCACGACAATCGCAATCATGATGATGATGATGATGGTGATGATGATGATGATGATGATGATGATCCAATGGGTCAGCAATCCACATCAAATCTCAAAGTGTCGCAAAGCGACTTGGGCCCCACAGCCGGCGCAGCTCAAAGTCTCCAGGGTTGCCGGGCCCCAAGCCCCGAGCCATGGCTGGACAAGCGGAAGATCAAAGTCAGCACGCCAATGTGCTGCTGTCTCCTGGTTGCATATATTCAGGCGGACATAGGCAGAGCAGACCAGAAATCCGACTGTTGGCTCTTGTTGGGATGATGCTCAACTATCGCTGGATTTTTTCGCTTTTTGATATGGGGGTTTCCTGATACTTGGGACCAATCATCCATTTTTTCTTGTGATTTTCCACCAAAAAAAGCATCGATTTGGGGGTAGCACCATTTATGGAAACCCCCATATGATGTCCAACTGCAATGAGTCTCTTGTGGGTGGTGTGATGTGAGGTACGTCTTTGTGGGCATCTATTTCTGCTTGTTGGTGGTTGTGGCCAAGATTGCACATAGCAAAAAGGTCAAGGCCATTGAAAGCCATGGCGAGATCAAGGTGGGAAAACGGACACTTTCCATGATTAGCTAAGATAAAACCCTGCTCAAATGGGTTTGGAAGCTAATTTGCTGATGGATATGGCATGATTTGGTGATGTTTAGTGATGTTTCAAGTCAAAGCCACTTCTTTCGTTCTGTGATAACCACAATCCATTTCCCATTTGATGCAGACAGAATGCACAGAACATCACAGAACCATTTGGTGAAATTTGGATGATCCAAGCCTGAATTTTGCAAGAATTGCAGATGTCTCACGGAATGTCCATCTGCAGACTGAGAAACCCAATAATAAGCCCCTTTTTGGGAATGGTTTACGCCACGATTTTTTTGGTAAAAGTTGGAACCTTTATGTGTTTACCAGACCACTTTAATGAAAGGCACATCCGCATTTTCGTTGGTCACTTGATATCCCCTTTGTACTCCCCAGAAAATAGCACTACTGGTAGGTATATCACGGTATATCCCCATGTTGGGTCACTTGGGTATCGAATCTCCCAAAAATTTTCGGCATCCAAAAACCCCAGCCTGGCGCAAAGTTGCGCCGTGCTGGCTTGTCGTCAGGCTCACTTCTCTGGATCCTATGGGGCAATTTCCCTCTTCCTTACCACCTTCTCCACGATCTATTCAGGCTGCGAAACACCACAGGGTTCACCCAGAAGTGGTGATTGAACCACCAAACATCGGGATTTAATTATATAACAGAAATTGGAATTTAAGCCACGAAAATGCAGGTATAATGGGATATATAAATATATAATATTTTATAGTTATATATATATATACATAGATAGATAGATAGCCAAATAGATAGCCAAATAGATAGCCAAATAGATAGCCAAATAGATAGCCAAATAGATAGCCAAATAGATAGCCAAATAGATAGCCAAATAGATAGCCAAATAGATAGCCAAATAGATAGATAGATAGATAGATAGCCAAATAGATAGATAGCCAAATAGATAGATAGATAGATAGGTAGATAGATAGATAGATTAGATAGATAGATAGATAGATAGATAGATAGATAGATTAGATAGATTAGATAGATAGATAGATTAGATAGATAGATAGATAGATCGATCGATAGATCGATAGATCGATAGATAGATAGCCAACAATATGATGGCCCATTTTTTGGGGTACCTTATTTTCAAGTGTCAAAGCCAGATTTGTGAAGAAAAACACAGACGGACTGGGTAAGCCTGTCCGGTGATGACCAATCTGAGTGGCAAGAAGATCATCACTATCTCCAAATCCTTGGGGTTTTTAAGATGTTTGGAAACATATTAGATCCAATATGATCCAATATGAATAGAACTTTGGAAACATATGGTTCTAATAGTTTAAAATCTCATATCGCATCAGGTTCCCATCCAAAGTTCTATTTCAAGAACTATTTCAGCAAAAAAGTCCCAATTTTCAGACACACACCCCTTGGCGCGTCCCACAAAAAAAAAACATCCCCGGCCTTCGCAGGTTACACTGTGATTGGAATCCCAGAGGAAGCCTTTGCGCGAGGCGACCTGGCTCTTGATGAGCAAAGCATCTCTAAAATCCCTGCGGGATGGTTGAAATGCTGGGTTATACAATAGCATTTCAGATCTAGTTTGGTGGCGATTGGTTCAATTCAAGGAACATGGATATAGCAACTCTGGTCACAATGGAATACACTCGGATTCTGATCCAAAAAAAACGGACATCGAATCGAATAGAAACCCTAGGGATCGGTTGGCTACGGGACTTCAGTTACTGGGGAATGATCTCTGATTCAAGACAAACAAAGCCGGCCATCTCACCAGGGGTTGCTGTGAGAGGCTTGTGTTTCATGTATTGATCCTCCAAAACAACTGGTCGATGCTCGTTTGTGTCACGTTTGTATGTGAGTTTCCAGTACACCGCTGTGGGCGAACATGGGGACCTATCAACAGGGTATCCCCAAATCCAGTGGCTTTTCATGAGTTTCCCATTAAAGAAAGATCAATGTTTATTGCCGCACCTAGACCCTCTAAGTACCCCATAAAATGTGTAAAAGTACTATATATAATAGTAATGGGGTAAACTAGCAAACAAATCCATTTTTATGATTTTATGGGTAGAATGATCCAAACTGACTAATATTTTTCATAGGGGTAGGTCAACCACCAACCAGTATAATAATGGGGTAAAGAGCCCATTTTTATGGCTACTTGGAGGGTCGTAAGATGAAGTCTCCCAATTGATGTTGGGTCCATCAGCTTGGGTACTGCAGGCTTCGTAGCCTTGCGATGGATCGGGGCCACCCTGGTAATCGTCGCAGGCATTGGATGAAGGGAAGACGTGCAGGAATCCCAAATGTCTACAAATGTCTACCCACTGGTAATCTAACATAATCAGGGAACATCAGCATGTTTGATAGGTAAATCATGGATAATCATGGGAAATCATCTACAAATGGGTAATTCGCCATGGCCATGTTGAATATGGTTGAATTACCAGAGGGTATCTACTCGTTGTGGAGTTTCATATAGTTTCATGTAAACTATTCGACTTGAAGTGAATTTCGCTATGCACGAGCCCCAGCAACACCTGCTGGTGGCAGTTCCCGACTGCGAGAGAAAGTTAGATCCTCAATGTGAAACTCAAAACCTTGTCAGCCTCAAAGAGCAAAATCATCACCGAAGTCCAACAAAAGCCTCCTTTCCTCACCCGGCACTGCTCCAGCCTTTGATTTTGAGGCATGTTATTATTCAACCCGCGACTGCGTCGAGTCGCGGCTGCGACTTGGTCGTTTTGAAAGTCATCATGTTTTCTCTGGAAGTCATGTGCGGGAAATTTGTCCATTCGCAGGTTAGCCTGAGTGGATATGTGTCCTTTTTTGGTTGGATACACAACACCCCCCAAGCAGCAGAAATAGTGAGGATTTTTGGCAGCAGATTGAGACTTTCCGGACCATCTAATCATTTGCTCAAGGTCAGTCAAGAGCTATGAATGATCAACAATGGAAATATCCGCAGAAGTCCCTTTGGGTGAGACCCCTACAGCTATTCACTGGAAACCTATGAAGATTGAAATTGACTTGCAATCAAAAGTGTGGGCAAGTTGTTGTTAATATACATATTGTGTTCTGTTCCATAGATCAACATACACTCTGCGGGCTGGATCATGGGTCGACATGCTCCACCAGGTTCGCGGCTACACCAGTCCCCAAGACTTTCTCAATGACCGCTACGGCACCCTCCGCTTGCGACTGCTGTGTGCAGTCTGTGGAGTCATTCCCATCATGAGTTCCCCGTCATCCCCTGTCCAATTCAGGAAAATGTGATGACCCCTTGAAGGAGCAATCAGTTGGCCTTTCTTGTAGGCGAATTCAATTAAATGGTCGGTTTCTACTGTGGGGAGAGCAGGGACAGCCCTTTTTTTGCTGCTGAAATCGATTGAAACCCCCTTTCTCTTCTGAAAATGTGGTGAGAAGGTCAAACCCCATATTGATCATATTTGTTCTTGCAAGCTGGGTATGTACAGTATACATCATATACATCAGTATACTGTAATCCATGTATCATGGATGATCTCCCCAAATGAATCCCGAATCAGGTTACATCACTGCTCAGATCGTGTCCTTCTCGGCGATGCTTCAAGGCATGACCTTAGGCGCTCAGGGCTGTGGTGATCTTGGTCCGAAACGATCCATTTACCATCAAAATGTCATCAACATGTCATCAAAATAGATGGTAAATGGATGGTAAATGCTTGGATGTAATTTATTACACTTTTGCTATTGAGAATGTGACGTTTCCATGATTTGCCCACGAAAAATGGCGAGCTTTCAGTTCGCAAACTCTGCATTTTTGCGGTGATTTTGGGCTGATGATCGTTTGCGACTCCTGTTTTTTGATTGTTTGGTCATGATGTTGAGGGTGCCCTGGACCGATTTTTGCACGGTGCCGCTTGGCTGACCCAAGCGCACATGTTACATTGTTACATATTGAGGGAACCATCAAAAGTGTCCCTAAGACAGGTCTTGGATTTCATTTGAATCATAATGATTTAATAATGATTCTCTAAACCCATAATTCTTGATGGTTTTTCTTCATCGCAAGCATTGAATCAATATCCATGAGACCATGATGGGCTTCGCATGGGCTTCATGGGCGCAGGAGCCATTCCAAAGTGGGCGTGCATGGTGATTTTCTGTGTGATGATCCTTACCCTGGAAGTTTTGGGTGGGATGAACAGCGTGGTGCTCACAGATGCTTTACAGCACGTCAGCACGGTGGTTGTTTGGATCCTCATGGCTGACCCAATTTTCCATCAAACGGCCGAATTTTTGTATGTTTTCTCAGCATCCCGCATCCCCAGGATGTGCTTATAGATTTCATTAGATTCCCCGGTAGAGCTCCATGATATTGTCATGTTTCAAAAAAATATATGTTAGAACATCGATCCCGATGTAGTCTATCACTCAGGACAAAAATGTTTGAAAAAAAGAAAGGATCCCAAGGGTTGGTCACTCAGGATGTGGTTCAAAGCATCCTGATGATCGCCTCGTTTCTCACGATTCCAGTGGTGGTGGCCGCGGAGTATGGCTGGCTGCCGGCCATTGGACCGTCCGACTGCGGATTCTTGAGGCCTTCTGACTAACCAAAGAGAGAACAAAGAGTACAACGGTGGTGCCCCCAGTGATGTTTGTTGGTTTATAGCCAGGATGAACTAGTTCGATATTATCTAATATCTACCATAATTTTCTGCCGTAAATCCTAGTGATTGGAGTTAACCAACTTAGCTAAGTTGGGGCCCCACCTTGTACCTGGCTGCCCTGGCTCTTGGGAAGTGGGCCTTACGGAAACATGAGACTCCGCTTGAAAGATATTTGACCACCTTCACATCTCCGATTGAACATGTCAAACCAGATATGACAAGTTATTGATTTACTAAGTTGAAAACTATTGCAGGATTTGGGACTAAGTTTGATTGCAAACAAATTGTGAAGATTTTGTTTCCATGAGTTTCGTCAAGCGCATGATTTGTTGTCGGATCTTGAAAGAAGGAAAGCTCTCCGACAATTTGAAAGATCTCAACATTTAGAGTCAGCTGTTATTTTCCACCTCAATATCGACAAGTATTTTCCGAGAGTGTGACGAAATAGGGGGCCGATTTTTACGTGTTTTTTAATGTTGTTTATATAATGTGTTTTCGCTGTTTTCAATATATTTTTTTTTAATGTTGTGTACTTTGTCTGCTACATTCTTATTAGATACTTTATTTTGTTCTTGTTTCATCAAGTTCAGTAAATTGTTTGTTAAATAGTATAGTAGGACTGGAGATAGGGTCGAAATCCTTTGTTTGTAAAGTGTTATTTCCATGTTTTTTTTTTTTGCATAGCTGCTTGGAAATAAACATATGGCAAGGAGCAAGCTCAATATCTATACGACATATAGTTGTCTGTGTCTATGTGTTGACAATACCTAATGACCTAATGCTGGCTTAGTACAATAGAGAAACTAAATATGTTTGACTATCAAGTTCTGTAATCAAGTGAATATGATATCAGAATTTAACAGTAGTCATGGAGGGGTATGCAGCAAATGACTCTTCTCACAGGGAAGAAAGCACATGAAAATATGCAAGCTTACTTTTGTTCAATCACCATAGAAAAACAACAAGATAAAGTCAATCCCACATGCACGTACTTCATCCATCTTAATCCAAAAGGTGTCCTGTAGATTTACTGTCCTCAACGTTTGACCGTTTGACACATTTCAGCCATCCCGGATGGCACAGGAATGTGTCTCCCAATGTCACGGACATCTTTTCCGTGCCAGATGAATGCATCGGGGCAGCCCATGGCTGTGTTGCAGCAGGATGCATTGAAGCAGTGAATCCAGAGTTCTACCAGTTTCCGACTAGATCCACTTGTCCCGTGGATCAAGCTGCTATTATTTTTTCTAATGCTCAATTTCAATGGCAGCTTTCAGTGGATCAGAGGGGTCACCAATTTTGGAGACCAATCAACATCTGCAAAGTGTCTGGAGAAAATAATATTTGGATGCACACTTGTTGACAACAAGCCATGGTATCGTTTCATGACTGTGGAATGGTTGTCCTTTCTGACATTATCCAAGGTTGCGAGATTGTCTTCTTCCTACTGAATATGTTGGTGACGCCCTTGTCGCCACATATTGTGCAGAGGACCTACATCGCAACCAGTGATGCAGACATGCGAATCGTGATGGGTGCCATGCTGCTGGCACCGTTCATCGCACAGACGCCAGGTATCATTATGGGCCTCACTAAGACGCTTGGCTGGGCAGATGGGATCCAATGGGATGTGAAAGGTGAAGCTGCTGGGTGTCGCAACCAGTGGAGTTGACATCCATGGAGCACCAGAAAAGACTACCAACTCAGCATCTGACCTCAGCATCTCACCTTTTGGTGTGGACAAAGAAGGCATAGGTTCATGGACTGGCTGTGAATTTCGATACCAGTTGATGATTTGGACGGCAAGGCAGTATGACGTGCATTTAAAAGAATCAGCAGCAGATATTCTCAGAGACATAGTCTTTCTAATCATTGTCATATATTGTCATTATTACCATTGCTAGCATGATGATTAAAGGTTTGCCGGAGAGATTGCCGTATTCTGTGCCTTTGGTGTGTTGTAGATTTTATTGACATCAGCCAGTGAGCATTACTCCCTGTGAATCTAACAGTTTGCTAATGTTTGCGATTGACAATTGGTTTTAAATTGCCAGATTAACAGGTATATAGATAATTATCATTAATTATATAGATATATATGTAAATCATATATATATATATGTATATATATATATAAAGGGAATTTCCATGTTCCATAGCAACATATTACCAGGCCCTGATGCTAGCCTTGGACCATTGGACCTTGTCCCAGGAGCGCCTATGATCCCATGTGGCCTGTGGTGGATCAAGAGGCTACGGCATTCTCCGGCTTGAGCGCACAGTTGAAGATGGTAGGCGCGGCCGGGGGGAAACATGGAACCATGGAACCATGCCACGTGTCATGCCATGTTAAAACCAGTCATGGCCAGGGAAAATGAGGTCGGCCGCCTGATTTCACCATGATTTTTGGAGAGCAAACATGTTTTAAAATGATTTGAGTCTGAACCATCATAGGATTTGTTGACCTATGAATAGTGAATATGGATGAATATGGATGAATATGGATGAATATGGATGAATATGGATGAATATGGATGAATATGGATGAATATGGATGAATATGGATGAATATGGGATTTAGTCCCAGCAAAGGGACTTACCTAGCAAAAAAAAAAGTAGATGTAAGTCACCATTTAATGGGAATATCATGGGGATACACATATATTTCGAACCACCAATACTTCCAAAAGGGGTGTGTCTGCAAACCGGAGAAAAAAAGCATCTTTATGGCAATTTTCATGAAGCAGATTGATGATTTAGCAGCAGATAAGTTGGCGACATCTGGGGACCATTCTGGGACCAGCTACTCACACCTACTGCGACTTGGGGGTATCCGGGAATATCCAATGTTGCCAACAAGCGTTGGGGAACTCTCGTCCATAAGAATAGGGCTCGGCCAATATTCTGGGGAAATCGCTTGTTTGGTTGTGTCTAATATTGTAACATCCAATGCCATCTGTTGGAACGGCAAAGCCCAACTGATGAATAGTTTGAAGGGTTGGGGTTGAGCACTGAATGGGAAGCACTGAATGGGGCCTGGATCAGCGTCCAAATGCATCCAGACTTCAAACATGACCAAATATGCTCAAATCCCTGCTTAGGGCGAGCGTGTGTTTTAATTTTCTAGAACAACAAACCTCAAAATCCTGGACCCCTAAACCCTAAAACTCTAAAACCTAAAACAATAATAACCTTAAATCCTGAAAGCCCAAAGTCAAAATAGCTTCGTACAGCCAGTGTTTTCAGTCATCCTCTGGTGACAAGAAAAAAATCTCGGGGTGTGTTATGTGGGCATGGGCGAACGTGGGGGTTGCGGGGAACATGTTTAAAGCATTTCCATATCCGCATGATTCCGCATGTTAATATACATATATTATTATATTATATTATAATTATACAATATATTATATTGCACATCATTACATGTATTATGATATATTAATTGCATATTACATGTATACAAAATTGTATATTATGTCATCTACCTAGTTCCCATTTTTAGGGATGATGCCTATTGCCCAGCATGAATTGCTGATGGCCTTGGTTGGAGGATGGTTCCAGTACTTCCTTGTCACTATGATGACTTGTTCCACCCTGGCTGCCATCATGTCCACTGCAGATTCGGCTGTCATGGGTGCCTCAAGCATTGTGTCTGCTGCCTGGAGTTCAGAAAAAGTCATCTTGGACACCACAAAAAAGTTGGGTGATCCCATGAAATCTGGTTGCTGTTTCCATCCTCCCTACGGTGTTTCAATTTGTCGAGCTCTGGGAACTCGGACGCATTCACTTTTCTCGGAGCCAAGATTCTACTTGGATGTGGGAGAATCAGGCTATAATAAATTGTAATAATCTGTGTCATCTCCGTGATTGGCCACACCAACGGCAGGTCAAAACCATTGGACCTGATTTCATGCAGCTCAGGTCCATTGATGTGGTGAAAGGTAGTCTCTTGCCAAATCTGTCAACAAAGAACGTGGTTCGCCTGGGTGAAGCCACGTCAGCTGCTTGGCGGAGTGAGCGATTGGCGCTTAGCGGCCAGGCTTTTCCGTCATTCGCTTCTGAAAATGTTCGGGAAATCCGAGTTTTCCTCGGCATGGGTTTTCGGTGTGTATATTATATGGCTATATCCGTCTGCAGATGAAGTTTGCTAGTTTGGGTGCCACAAACTTGGGAGGATTCAAGCGATGGAGATGACTGGAGTTACCATCTGGCTATTTAACAGTTTGCCATGGAAAATCACCATTCTTAATAGGTAAACCATCTATTTCTATGGGCCATGTTCCATGGCTATGTTAAATAACCAGAGGGTATTAAACATGTTTTTAAAATTGACATATCTAAAGACGAGACTTCCAGAAGGTCTGTGACCCACATTTTTTCCCGTCACTAGGTGATCATTTGCATCTTGGCCAGCATCATGGGCATGTATTGCAACGATGAACAGCTGGGTACCATGATCGTCTTCCAGGGAGGCATGAACATGCAGCTTCTACCTGCCTTTGGCCTTGGGTTTCTTGGATTTTCTTGCCACAGCATCATCCAGCTGCCTGTGCTGTTTTTGATCGAGGGACGTCCAAAAACGAGGGGCCTAAAAGTTCCGGTCATTTCGCTGGACGAAGAATTCTAGTGCTGGGCTTTGAGTTTGTTGCTTTCCACAACTGCCATTGCTTTTGGGCAATGCGCAATGCCCTGAGGCTGTATTTCCCA